AAGAACACATGGGATACTCAGCTTGGTATTTTTTTAAATCCATGCGGACAGTCTCAGGCGAAAGCTAGTAAATTTCATTTATAAAATTATTCGCCAATAATTTCCAACGGGTTCATCGCGTCGATTAAGCCACCGTAATTAAATAGAGTTTCATTTTATTTCTAAACCAAAGGACCGCTGGAAATGACTTCGTTTTGCATAATACAAGCATTTCAATGATATACATTTAATTTTTAAGTTAAAAACATCTGTTGGAGATTTTAATGACACTCTCGACCCATAAAAGTAAATTGTAACCTCAAAAAGAGTCGTTCAGAAAGTCATCATTTTAGGGAGGGCCTGGACACCAGTTAATTTCTTCATATAAGTCTATGTTTGGTTTTTGTTTCCAGCCATTGATTTTTTTTTTATAACATAAGGTGGCAAATGAGCAAGCGGCCACCTGATGCCGCCAAAATAGCGAAGCGACCGCTGCCCATAGACATCCGCGATCGCAGATGCGTATATATTTAACATTTCGTTCGAAATCATCTAGCAATCTTAGTTTCGGCCTCCCGCGTGATTTACGTCCCTCTGGTTGACTTACTAATAGGCGCTTGGTTACTCTGCAGTTACTTAAATATTACTGTACTATTTATCATCCAAATAACTCATATTTAAATAAATCAGTTATTCTCAAAGCGAAAAGTTCTATCGTTAGAGCACAAACATTAAACAATTATCCTCAAAAGGATCAAAATCTCTCGAAGCGATCATTCGAACTTCCTAATCTTCATCTATAGCGGGAATTAGTGAGTTACGCTCAATTAAATCGAACCCAATTTATCAAATTTCTAAGATATTACTCGATTTAATAACCTTGTTAACACTTAAATATAAAATGATATAAAAAAATAAACTATAGAAGCATTGTATCAGGTTACTTAATCCACAATTTTATATTCACAAATTCTGGGTTTCCGAAGTTTCCATTAATTTAATCTCTAGCTGCTGCTCGCGTCTTCGTTCGCGCGGAAATAAAAATTGTACTAAATACAGCCTATGTTATGAGATAAAGTAGTTATTTATTGGTGAAAAAATATTTGAAATCGCCCCAGTAGTTTAAAAACATAAATCTTTCCTCTATAATATTAGTAGCGATTCATTAATGTTACGTTAAACTAAGTTTCAAAGGAGTAGAAATCAAGTTACGTAGTTCAGAAACGCATTAGAATTTATCGAACCATAACTATCGATTGGTTAAACGTAGCTGGGATCCGGCCATAAAACAGTTATTTATTTAACTTTTAACAAGTTTGATAAACAAAATGGCTCACAAGAGTTGCATTATTTTCAACATGAAAACATTTACATTGTGTTTGATTCCAGATGCCTGATTCGTACTGTCCAGATGCAATACAAGTGCAAATACAGAACACCATTTGATGGAGTCATAAAGATAACAAAACAACTCAAATACGAGGGGTTCTTTCCAACACTGCGCAGTACAAACATCATTCCTTGTCGCCCTTCTTCAATCGTCTGTCCATAAAAAGGGAGGAGAAAATTATCTCCTGAATAAATTATATTTTCCCCTTTTCATGAAGACAGTAGAAGTACATTTTCGTTTTTTTTCTTTTATTTGCAGATCAAAGACGCAACGTCTGAGAGTCCGCAAATACAAATGGGTGAGAATTTAATGTGATTTGATGTCCCCCGGATAATGGCTTTAACATAATTCAAGCGGACCCTCCTCGACCAACCTTGTTTGTTTTACAATTCAATTTCTGTTTTACTTTTTCCATTTTTGAATCTATTAACATTTTGTGATTTTTTTTAATTAAAATGACCCGAAATTTCGTCGCGCGATTTTGAGCTAAACTATTTAACTACGTCGTAGTCTTTGACTCCAAAAATCATACAAAAAAATGGGACCCACCTGCAAGCATTACCTTTCGGATAAAAAATGAATTATCAAAATCGGTCCACTAGCGGCGGAGTTATGCCGTAACACACATAAAAAAAAAAAAACATACAGACGAATTGAGTACCTCCTTCTTTTGGGAAGTCGGTCAAAAAATATTACTGACTGATAACGTAGCTTTTTAATGGTGCAAAAAAAATTTAAACCAACCCTTTAATTTTTTAGTTATTTAGACACACACAAAAATACAAATTTTTTCTCTTTATAATATTGGTAAAGATAAAAATTATAAATGTGTATTTCTACTGCCAAAACACATCTTAAAGCTTTACCTATGTTTTTCACTGCAGTGAAAACTAACAGTAACATTTTACACTGATAATTACAAATAGGGAAATAAAACAAATATACTTTAATCAACATTTACTCTACTTATAAAAACATTTTAGTATTACAAAATAAATATTCGCAATATCATCTCTTACAACTTGCACAAATATTACACGGAGTAAAATAAACCTTCAAAAGTCATATTAATTTGTATTTAAAACTTAATAGTAAAAAACCACCAGACCCTCGTATTATCCAGAAGATATTACCTCAAGTATTAAAAGCACATTAAAGCTGTGTAGGTTTCCCGACGCAAAGTAACCAAAGGAAGGAACATATAGATGTTCCTTTCTTTGGTTATTTTGTGTAACCCATCGGGGTTTCAGTAGGTTCCAATCATTTTGGGACCAGCAAGCCCCACATACTCTCCTAGAAATTGGAATGCGAAAAACCTTCGCAACACGAGGAATAAAAAGGGCTGGACATTCACAGGATTGCCAAAATCCAGATCATATATATTGCCAATAATAAATATATTCAATGGATTAGCTATATAGCAAGAGTAGCAAATGCTGGATTCTTCTCAACCGTCACCCCACGCTGTCACCACGTGGGGACAGATTAGAATAAAAAGTTTCATTTGTCCCACCTTTTAGTCTCATTGTCACCAATAAGTTGACCGATGGAACTAAAGGGCACTTTGACAGAATTTGCTAAAGGCCCCGCTTAATCCGTCACTGCTAAATAGGAATGGTTCCTAGGGTTCTTAAGTGAGCAGTGTTGAAGTAATGCAATTTGCCAGTAATAAAGTTTCAAATTCCATAGCCCTACAATTACAAAACACAATTTTCTAATAGGTGAAGTCCCACAATTTTGGTGCTCGTGAAATCGCACGAGACGGAGTACAAAACCATTTTAGATTATTGCATGTGAGAGGGGGGTACACCGGAATGCCACATAAAGTAAGAGTGCTCACATCTGAAACTAAACTATCGTAGAACTGTTCAGTCTCGCTTTGGTGCGCACACTACTTTTAGTTGTCCAAGTAAACAGTTGAATTGGCTGCAAAACAATCGACAATCACACAACAGTTGTGCGATAGTTTAGTCAAAGGTGTGCCAGCTCTAAACAGACAAATACAGATAACTTCTTATAACAAGCTAACCTGCACATTCTACTAAAACAGCTACCTAGTACTAATGGTTTTGAAAAACTATAGTCACTATTAAATAGTATAAGGTGGCAAAAACAAGCGGTCACGTGACTTCGCTAAACAACAACAATGTCAATGTGTTGCCTAAAATAGACAAAGGGTCCCCTCCCCTGTCGACTCCACTTCCTGTTCCCATCTATTCCTTATAAGGAAAGTTAAGGAAGGGTAGGAAAAGAAGACCTCAATTTATGAATATCTAGGTTTTACTACAGCTATCTAGCAACAAGCTAAATATATTTAAAGAACTCTATTCTATCTCTTTACTCTATCAATCTATTTAGGCCATGTTTCAAATTAGGCCAGTTCACAAAATTCGTTATTGTATCATTAATCTAATAAAAATGAGAGTTATAGTTTTCTTAACATAAGATACTAACTATATTTGTAGTTTTGATTACATTGACAATTTTAACAAATGCATATAAAGTTTAACATTTTTAGGTTAATACATTTATACCTGGAATATGAGTTCAAATTGATTAACTCAAAGTCAAATAGTTATTCCCATTTTTCTTGAAAATAACAAGTGTTATTTAATTTTCCACTTATAGTCAAAGAACATATGCAATTCTTTATATCACTACAAACAATTTTATTTGTAGCTAAAAGCATCTAAATCTTACTTAGAAAATATCATACTTTAATATACCATTATTAAGTTAACATTTAGCACACTCATGTGCAGATAAATAATATTAAATTCATGTAAAGCTATGAATATATAAAAATTCTTTAAATTAACTTTTTATTCCTATCTCTGGACAGACGAATTAAAACTTATCCTAAACTCCTTCGTAAGCAATGCTTACAATCTGACAGACAACCAAATATTTATAGAAAACTTTCAGAGTGGCCTTATCATTTAAAAAAAATAATTAAAATAGAGTATTAAAAGAGTACTCGGGCTATAACAGAAAACCGGTACTACACTATTGGTACAAAAAAAGTATACAGCGAGCACACGGCATCATACATTATACCTAGATTGGTTAATGAACTACCCTCATGTTTAGTAAAATTTATAACACAAAAAATATTATGCATGAACTCGAACAATATGCACGCAAGCCACTGAAACGCTAGTGAATCATTGAGGTTTATTTAGCGTTTTTTTATATTAAACTAGATTTTTTTTTGGCATTGTTAAAAGAAACATAAAAAAATAACATACTGACAGTTTCAGTATTAGGTAAGTTTCTTAATAAATTCTAACTAGATAATAAATTATGACATACCATACTGAAGTTCATACACTTTTAGTATCACTACACTTTGATTCACACACTTTTATAGTTCAAAGTTTTTTGCACTTGCACTTTAGGGCTAAGATACTTTCACTGGAAGAGGCGAGTAGTATGCCGAGATCAAAGAGATTAAAAAATATATAGAGGAAATGTTGACACTTTACTTGAGACATTTTTCACATAATTCATTAATAGATCCTCAAAACCACATATCGATATAATTAATAGTATAGGTAATTAATCACTGAATAATAATAAAGGCTTAAATAGCATAAAAATGACGTCACTGTCAGATAAGGGAACAAAATCCGATATTTCCGTCACATATTTTACTCGTTAGATTGTTTTCAGACGATTTACAAATTGGTGGGACAGACCCTTAAAAGTTTATATTTCATTTTGTGACATTGTTTAGTTTATTATAATAATAAAATGTTTTATAACATGTCAATACAATAACATGAGGTAGAGTACTGAACTTGACAACTAACACAGTACCTTTCAAACAAGTTACCAGTGAAAAATGTTCAATATGTCAAGTCTATATATTTCTTAAATGTCTTTTAGCCATGACTATATGGAGCTTCTACCCACCCTTTTTTGTCACAGGTATGTTGAAGCATATTCACAGTGTATCCATCAAAGACCCAAGAGGCAAAATGCCAGGAAGTTGGAACATCAGTCTTCATCATCTATTTCATCATCACTCATGTCCTCCTCGCTGGTGCAGTCCGGCTGCGAGCCTTGTGCAAGGCAACGTTCACACCAACAGACAAATAAATAATTTTGTGCCAGCTCCTAAAAAATCACAAAGTATTACATTACTACTTTACTTAATGTGAGGTTTATAGTGTAAGCTATCGGATTCCTTGATTTCACACACAATTTTGACTAAAATGAATTAGTTATTGATTTAGGTGAAAATAGTATGAATTATTAAAATCATTGTTTATCATGGTTATCCATAATGTCAAGACTGTTAAAAAATATTGAATTGTCTATTGCTGAGTACAGACAGGTTCTTAATATAAACCTTGCAAAAATGTGATACAATCAACAAGGAATGAATTTCATTATAATCTATATTTGTGACTATCTGCGATAACTTGTAATTGGCCATCAGTGTTTTGTTTCTCTTATTATTTGTTTGTAAGTTAGCTGTAAGTTGTCCATGAGTAAATTAAAAAAAAAGAACTTATAAATCAGGCAGAATTTCAATCAATCTACATACAAAAAATCAAAAAGGACAAAAAAGTTTTTTACTTACCTTTTGTCTAGAATGCCTCGACCGCTGCAGTGAACACTCATCTAAATAGCTTATATATATCTCATCTCCGGGCATAATAACATCGATTGCTTTTAATTGTATCCTATGATTGCCGTATGGAAACGATGATTCGGCATTAGGAGCACAACTGTGATTGCATGCACTCTGCAATCGGAATAGGCCAGAGCCTTCCGTATTTAGGAAAGTACCGGATTCTGCAAACAATTTTCAAGAGTTATTTTTAAAAAATATATAAACCTACTGATGAATATTACGTTTTTATATACACACTATCCAAAGCCATATAAAATGAGTACCCATTTGACCAAATACTGTAACAAATCTCTGTAACATCTGTAACATTTCACTTAGTAAGTGGTGCTGACAATCTCTTAGACATTAAATTTTAAAAGATTTCGGAGTTTAAGAGTGTTAAGGACACTCACACTATTTAAGAACCTTTTACACATTTTACATTTGACATTTCAATATTCAGAGGAAAGACTTCTACAACAACCTACTTCTACAGTCAATACTAGAGTTGTAGTTACCATGGTAGTAGCTATACCCCACCTTAATGTTCAGTGCAATGACTTACAAAGTTAAGAACCGCAGACATTTAACAAATACTATACAAACTTATAATCAACAACTTACCTTGTTCCACATATTGATACAGCTTGTCAATAAACAAATCAAGTTGCTGTCTCTCATCATCAGACATAGTCAGTTCTGATACCGAGTTTACCCACATAGCAAGAGGACTTGTTCCAATACCTTGACCATTTGTCCCAACTAATGCCATCAAACTGCAAAATCCTTCCGGTGTCAGAAACTGCAAATTAATAACAAGATAACTTTTTAAACTTTATATATGAATAATAATTGTCACATTGGTACACTACACAATATTTGAGGTATTCTAAGAAGTATGTAAAGAAGTTTTAATTGTAAAAGATCTTTTAACCCTTTTGCCCTCTGTTGTATAAATATTTACTAACATTTACCAAAAAATATAAATTTGTATGCTTGATTTGCTTATTGTAGTCTATAATACTGATCTTGTATAAAATATAATTTTTCTGTGAGGTTTGGAAAAACCACCCATTTAAAGGTTAAATAGATTTTAAATTATCCTTATACATAAAATAATTTACGTCTATTTACTTAATACATGAAAAATCAAGATCTTTTTACTGGAAAATATAATTTATCATTAACAAATAAAATTAAATTAAGGATTACCCTTACCTCTTGTATATGGTCTCCTTTAATAACATTAGCTGTCATATCTCGTAATGTGTTCAGCTGGTCAGTAAACTGTTCACCAAGCAACTTGTGAACAAGTTCTGCATCTTCATTAACTGTTCTATGACAGAATTGTTTGATAACACCGGCTGCTGCACTTGGATCATTACTCTGTTCTATAAAAGCTAGAATTCTTACTAAAAGCATTACACTTGTTGTTTCCGGAGGATAGTGCATTTGTCTGGAAAATAATTTGTATAATTATGACTCTACATGTTCATAAAGCAATTAAAAGGTATTTTTATACTGTTTTATAATACAAGGATGACTATTAATAGACAATTTGGTCTAGTCTTATCTCCTTATGGAGATTCCAATACAAAATACTGCCAAAGTTCAACCCTAATTCAATAAAAGTTAACATTAGTAACAGTCTTGGGTGTTTCTTATTGTGCTGATTGGCCCAAAGTGAATCATCCATTTTTTTTGCTAATGACTGTTCCCGTGTGACTTCATCCACATTAAATTAAAAAAAATACTGTTTACAATTGTCAAATTCTCAATTGCAAATGTCAAAATAACACCAGTACCATAATAACCTTGCTTCCTTAATATTGTCAACTTGTAACTTATGCTCCCTTTTCAACATAAAGGTTTTTTTTTAAATTTATTTACCCCTAAGTTTAATGGTGTGAAAATATATAGCCTAAGATGTGTTGTAAGTGTAGGGCTATTTATTATAGAAAGTATTATTCAAAAACAAACTGTGACTGCTGACATCCTATGCCCAAAGTAATGTGTGTTTACACTTTATTATATTAGTATAAATGAATTACACTCACTTCCAAGTCTCCAAAAGTACCATTATAGGATGTTGAGCATCTGTTGTGTCATAACATAAACTTCGATGATAAGTATCAAACGCTCGTTGTCTGCATTCCTCACCGCAATACAATGTACCGCATTGATCACAAGTAGCTACATTCTCCAAATTAATATCAAAACAATTTGCATGAGGTAGAACTATATCTGGTTTACAAGATAGGCGTCTCACATTTTGCTCTGGCGTTTCTAATGGTCTAGAAAAATATAAAATGTTTTTAGAATGCAATTTATGTAACAAATGAGCTATAAATAATAGAAAAATGAATCTAACCTCATACAGTAATCACATGCTAAATATCTGTATGCAGCATTCCAAGCAAATTGGCACGAAACTAAAGGATCTTCTTCTAATATAATATCACCTTTATCAAACTTCTTGGTGGCAAATAGTCCTTTTCCCTGTAAAGAAAGAAAATAATACAAATGTAACCCCGAGACATTTAAATAATGTTGTTTATAGAGCAGCCACGTTACCTTCTTGCTATTCGAAGTTCTTATTTCAAAACCTGCCATATTGAGTGCTTGATTTAATGCTTTTCTAAAAATATATCCGCTTTCTTAACTAAATAAAGCTTTTGAACTTTTTGTCTTAGAGGTTAAGTTACAGAAACAAAATGGAATAACCAAAATGACAAGCTGTCAAGAAGTGACAGCTTGGTCAGTGACAGGTGACAGTACTATTTTGTTTTTTTAAAGGTTTTATGGCTTTGTTACTGGAAGAATTAATCAAGAGAAAGCCGTAATGGAATTGCAAATTGGAAAAGTCGAAAAAGGGTGAAGGAAAAGTTAATGTTTTTGCCCTGTTTTGTCGAACTTTTGCTCTAAGTTCCACCTCACTCTCCATCTCGATGATCATTGTTTAACACTTTCTTTTATTTGTACTACTTTCGAATTTGAAACAAAAAAACATCGAAATTGAGTTTTCTCTCTTAGCTTTCTCCTTTTGATTATAACAGATTAGTTTATGTTAACAAAAGAAATAGAGAGCACAGTAAGAAGGAATTGGAAGGATTGGTCATTAATAAAACCATCAGTGAATGTTGACGATTACATATTATATTTCTTTGAATATGTATTTTTACAAAAGACCCGTTTACAATAACCTTAAATAAAACTGATACAAATAAAATATGTTATAAGAAGTATTCGCTACAATATACTGTATGAAGGCATATGAGATCGACGGAATAATTTTCATGAGTTACTTTTTCATCTCAGATATTGGTCTGAATTGTTTAAGTCTAAAAAATAACATAATTTAAAAAAAAAACTTATTACAAAGTAAAACATGTATATCGACAAAAAACTAACTAAAATCTTAGCATTAACCATTTTAATATAAACATTAAGTAAATGGTTAAACACCATTTCGAGCTCCACGACAACAAGCCGACTTTTTTTCTTTTCATAAAGCTATCTTTACATACGGGTTTCACTTACGAACTAATTACAATACTTATATTAACTATAAATCTATCAGAACACTTATTTAAATATAAAATCGATTGATAAAACAATAAAAATATTTACATGATATTGTGACTGGAACCATGTAATTCTATAACCATGACACTAAAAAAAACATGTTTATTGTCTGTGTTTTTTTTTTATGAAAGGAATAACAATACATTTTAACACAAATGTTTAGGCAATTGTTTCTGTATTCGACTTTACAAAGCTGTAATAATTTTCTCTCTATAATTATCAACTTGCGCTATGGTATCAAAAAGTGGTAATTTTCTCGTTTCAGGCGTAAACGAAAGGAGTAGAGCGGAAATAATCGCTGTTGATGCGAACAGGAGCGATGGTAGGAACGTAATTTCCGCTGACTGAAAAAAAAATGGTTAGATGATTAATTCAAACACGGATATCGAATGTTAAGCCAATTGTTGAAGATAAAAGTTGTAAAATTAAATTTTGTAATTAGCCTATACTAATATTATAAAGAAGAAAACATTCTTTGTTTGATCGTAATGAATAGGCTCAAAAACTACTGGGCCGATTTTAAAAATTCTTTCACCGTTTGTAAGGTTATATATCTGTGAGTAACATAGGCTATATTTTTTTACTTCTTTATTATTATTTTTAAATTTCACGCGGACGGAGTCGCGGTCAAAAGCTAGTACTGTATGATTTCATACATTTACTTACCAATAAAGGTGTAAGCGGGGCGAGCATACTTCCAATTCTAGCAGCCGTGTTACCCCAACCGATTAGAGAGCCTCGCACACTCGTAGGGAACAGTTCTAAACTGTACGTGTAGATACCAGTGAAACAAACCACCACGCCCACTTTACCCGCCAAAAACAACGCCACTTTTAACCACATTATATCTGAAATAAGACAAATTAGTTAAAGGTCTGCCGAAAGGTAGACGTCAGAATTTAATATAGTCAGTGCAACCCAAGGCGTTAGCAAATTAACTAGACAGTGTCACATATGAGGGCCTGTCCCACCACTGGCTGATGGAGACTCAGATAGCTTAAAAGGGGGCGATATAAATATCTCGCCCAAGCTTCTCGTAGCGTTAGTAACTAGCTGATAAGTACCTAATTGCACTTTTATTTGTGATGTTGGTGATGGTGTGGTCTTCAATTTTATTACATTCGGTACTATATTGCAAATTGTTACTCACCTTCAGGCGAAAATGCTTGCGCTATCAAAAATACGGCAGAACAAATATATCCACATTGCAGTGTTATTTTCCTACCGAACTTTTTGAATGTATAATATGCGATAAAATCTCCAGGGAACGATGATAAAGACGTCAGAACGAAGTTCGTGTATTTATTACCAGGCAAAAGTATAGAATGTACCGCCATTCCGTAATATATGAAGCTGGAAGAGAAAAAGCAGAACGACGCGACTGTTAAACGAATCATGATCTCTTTGGAATTGATAATATCTTTCATGGTCTCTTTTTCTTTTTGTACAACAACATTAAACCTCGCTCGTAAGTCAGCGTCGCTTATTTCATTTATCTCCTTCTCGGTGACGTTTATTTTATTCACTTTAGCGATAACTTTTAGAGTTTCCTTAGCTTCTTCAGTTTTCCCACGCAACAATTGCCATCTTGTACTCTCTCTTAATATGAATACGTAGAAAATAAATAAGAACATCGGTGTGTAAACAATTAATATCAACGTCTTCCAATATTGAAGTCCCATCGCAGTGAAAGCGAACAACATCTCGCCGATATATACAGCGTAAGAGAATATGACTCCCGCCAAAACTCTTGTCGATTCACCGCCGACTTCTATTACTGAAATAGAAATAGAACTTGTAAGGAGACAAATAATCTGAAAGAGAGAATTTCAAAATAAATTGGAAGCCGTTAATACATTTAAAGTAATGTAAAGTTTTATGTCGACTTTTTTTATATAATATAAGATGGCAAACGAGCAAGAGGCCACCTGAATACATCGAAATGGAAAGCGACCGCTGCCCATAAACATCCGCAATTGCAGATGCGTTGCCTACCCTTAATGACTTCCAAATACCTCACTAAATAAGAAACAAGCATTTGACGGACAAACCATCTTATAAGTTATAGACTAAAAGAATCTATGACGGTTTACAATATGCCTAGTTTAATAACAAACTCATGAAGTACACGATCGTCTGGTGATATGTACACTAAAGAATTCGATATTCTATGTTATTGGTACTGTAAACGACTATATCATCCATCAGTAAGTAACTAGTTACCAGTATTCTGTTTTATTTAAACAAAGACAGGTTACGAATCTTACGATAGACAGAAATAACATTTATACTTACGTAAAACAACATTGACGGTGTAAAGGCCGGATGCAAGCATTGACTCTAAGAACTCGACCGCTAAGTACGCATAGTAATTTTGGATAAATATTTTGAACACGCCGACAGCTGCGCCTATCGAACACACTATAATAGTTGGCTTTCTGCCGATTCTGAAAAAAAAAAACAAAATATTCAGAGTAAGTGCACCTTTTAACTAAACTTGTGCGATTGTCGATTGTTTTGCAGCCAATTCAACTGTTTAGTTGCACGAATAAAAATCGAGTAGTTTTCGCACCTCCGTATAAGCATAGAAATCAAAACGCGACTAAATAGTTGTGCGATAGTTTAATCAAAGGTGTGCGCACTCTAAAACTGATTAAAAACAAATGCGCGCTAATGTCTGGCGCCCAGGGCGGCCCTCCCACCTAGACCTAACGCAGTATCGTTAAGTTCCTCTATGCGCAGTAGAAAAAAAATAGTAGTTGACGACATAGGAGTCCGTTCTTACTTCATACATAGTTTCGAGGTACTAAGAGCATTTGTAGATGACTTAAGTATGGGAAGTTTTTAACATATAGACTATGTCAAACTTACTTATCTGCGATCCATCCTGAAATCATGACTGAGGCGATCATGCCGGCGTTGTGAACACTACCAACCAGTGTCGACTTCCATGATTGACATCCAAGATTTAACTGGAACACAAACAACAAAATCATCAATTTAAATTTTTATTGCCTCCTTCACCTTTATTAATTTGAAAAAAATATGCTTATCCGCAACTTGGCCGCTAAAGTCACATTATTAGGTCAAATGTTAATAAATCTACGTAAAATTTTCATATATTATATCAATTTTTAATGTTTAAATTTCATTTATAGTTAGTTTCTTTTCTAGATTTTTTTTCGAACAAGAAGTTATTCTTAACTTGTTGAATGAACAGAAACTGACATTTACAATTACATAAATATTAACAGTTTTAATGATGGCAAATGAGAATAAATTAAGATTATATGTAGATGCATTATTTACTCTGACGTTATTGCACTAAATTATTTTATTGTTACTAAAAGTCACAAGATTGAGTAATAAACGAAATATAATGTACTGTGATAATCTTATATTAAATTATTTTTAACTTATTACATGTATTATGAAAATAAACTAATTTAGATAAGAAACTGCACATCAAATATAATTAGACATAACCGTAATAAGCTATGGTATAAAATAGTACGCGGGGGATTTGTATGTTTACGTTATATGCATTTTATTGATATAATAAAGATCAGTAACACAGAAGTGACTTTACTCTCAGAAGCCGTTATTAAGGTCGATATGGAAGTCACTGACATCTGCGATTTATTTGTGCTCAAGTACATTTTAAGAGTTGAAACATACTTCTAAACATAAAACTATAAATAGAGTCGCCGCTGCATATAATAAAAATGTTAAATCTACTTTGACATGACTAGTGAAAGCAGAAGACAACGTATTATGGAAGGAAAATAGCAATTCGAAGTCAAGCAATTTGTTAACACAATCTGACGATAATGAAAGCATGTTTTTTTTATAATATAATATAAATATAAAGAGCAAGCAGCCACTTGAATCCACCTAAATGGAAAGAGATTGCTGCCCATAAACATCCGCAATTGCTGATGTGTTGCCTACCCTTAATTGACGGAAGAGGAGACGCACATTAAGAGGACATTTCCCCTTCCTATGCATCTCTTCCACCGTCAAACCCACTTTTCCTTCTCATCCTTTCCTCTTAAGAAAAGGGTGTAAAGGGAAAGGGACCAAAATAAGGCCTACTGTCTTTGTCTTTTTTTATTATGTTTACGAGACGGACTGGCCGAATATAATAATGTATTGAGTACCGAGTTACAGTTGTGCTTAATTTTTAATTTTTTGTTACACACAACGGTGCGACACGCTAGCCTACTATAACCAGCTTATGACGCGTGCCATAACAAATACAGCTTGCTGTTTAAACTTATAAATAGATATCGCTAAGTATACCACTATATTTATTTAACTGGTAGTTTGACATTTACTTTATGACAAAGAATGTGATAAATTAATGCACATTAATAATTCATTTAAAAAAAAGAAAAAAATTGCGTTCCTTTTCACTAATCTAATTTTAAGTCAACGATTCTAAAACATCTTACTCGAGAAAGCCTATGCGTAGTAAATTATTTTGGTTAAAAACGCATCCGTATCCGTTATTTTAGAACTAGGTCACGTTTTGAAATGAATAATTCAAAGGAACCAGTCTTCACTTCTTCACATACTTAGCGAAATTAAGTGGTCGCTCGATAGTCAGATTTTACTATTACAAAAAATCAAACTTACCGCGGCAACTATCGAATTGTGATTCTCGTAGATCCACTCGTGACATTCTTCTAAAGTCTCTTCAAATGTCGCGTTCGAACAAGTATCATTTGATTTACCAAAACTGCTAACATCAACAACCGGTCGGAAGCATTTAGAGTCCACATTTTTGGGCCACCATGGTGGTATTTCTGAGCTCGCGTTCGTACCATCGCATTCGGGTACGCGGCATCTGAAACCAGTATTTTTTAAATTTATTATTTGTATAAATCACTAATCAAATATTCGTGACTCATTAAATAATAATTTTTACGGTTTGAAGCACATCTTCATAACATTTAATTATTTTTACATAAAATTTAATTATTTTGCGTCTCCTATTTGACTAAGGAATTATAGGAAACTAAATAAATACCGCAAATAAAGTAAAAGAACGAGAACGAAAGTAAAAGTGGAATCAACAAAAGTCTCAAATAATGCCATACTCGTTTAAAACACATGAAATAACAGCTTTTTTAACCGTTACATTTTTTTCCTCTTTATTCATGACCTAAAAGCAGTCTAACTTTGAAGTGATTACTAAATATGGTTGATTACAATTGATACAAAACCCTAATTCTACGAAAGCTTGCGCTTTAGTGTACGTAAAACAATTTTTGAATTTATCAGAATGGAGACAATTGCATAACTTTTGTTATAAAAGAAAATTAATTTTGAGGTTATGACGAGATTGTCCTTGAATTTAGTTATGGATAACTCTGACCTTATGGATATTATTTAAAAGGCTTTTTAATTAATAGAATTTATATGCGAAATATCTGGTGAAGACGTGATTCTCTTAATTCGTCAGATGTCTTGGTGCGTCAGATGAATTTTAATTGTAGCCTGACCGCTTTTTGGATTTACGTCCGGCGTATTTCTGATACGCAAATACTATCAATGGAATGTAATAAATTATATAATTGTTATTCTCCTATGTTGTTGTAAGGTTTAGAAACAAGTTTTCTACGTCAGAATTTCTGTTTTCATTATGACGTGAATCTTTTAAACAGTTGACTGGTTTCTTATTTTTACGTTTACTTTTACGACTTATGTTTCAAATCCTGGCGCGGCTGCAACTACAAATTATCATAAAACTAACAAGCTGATTAAATTTATAGCCTATGTAAGTCAAAAATATAATTAAACGCCAAATGTTAAAAAATCTATGAAATTGTAAAACTTTTAGTAAATTCAAATAAATACAGGAAAGCCCGCATACAGAATTAACATAATGAAATATCATCTTTATTATCTGCGCATAATTATGACAACTTATAAATAAACACGTTTTGAGAGTGCTACACATATAATCAATGGGTATTTATTATTGTTATTTTCACGCTTTTTATTTATCGTACATAATGTTTGATTTATGATATATGCCGCTTGATGGCAATCATACGTGATTTTTTATTACGCAATATTTGAATTGGCTGCGAAACAATCGACAATCGCACAACAGTTGTGCGAAAGTTTAGTAAAAGGTGTGCGCCCGCTCTAAACTTCAACCAATAGAATACTCTTAGTGGCTTCTCTTTTAGGCCCCGTATTTGGAAGTAAGTATGCGAGTAAAACTTAAGCTAGCAGCAGTTCAAATTGCACAGATAATAACAAAAAAATTGAGTAACAATCCTTATGAAGAGTTTGTAAATAGTACGTTGTACCAATTAATATCAATTGGCAGCATTTCAGATAATTTAGTCGAGTTGTATCAACGATGCGTTCATTGCTTTATCGTCGTCAACATTCCAATTCGTCGTTAATTTGTTAATATTCTTACATTTGTCCTTCTGTAGGACTATTCAAATTACGCAAATTGTAAAGCACGTCGAAATAGAGAAAAAGAATGGAAACTAAGAGAAATGGTTAGTATGGTATGGGCATGTATGGACAAGAACAGTTTTATTTATGGTTGTAGAGGAGTACACCGGTAGAGTTCTACAATCATAAATAAGCCAAGAAAGAGATAGATGGATTGCGAGTTCAAGAATAGAGTGAAAAATATATCGATATGGAGGACGAAAACATCATACGACGACCCTGCGTGGGTTTCCAGACCTTCCTACCTTATTCCTAAGTACATAGAGATGAAATAAAATAGTAGGAAACAAATGTTGATCCTGGATATCTACTGTCTTCTTATTAGAGTCTAATTAAATAACCCAATTGTGTTTGAATATCTTAAGAAACGTCTGAGATTACAATTAAGTAAAATGTATCTAAATTAAATATAATTATAATACTAGAAACTAAAGCGTGTATAAATATGACAGGCCTACTTAAAAACTAATTATGCGAGACACTATTATTATCGTATTTTAAAATTTGTTCTAGAATCGTCGAGTTTATTTTCAATGAAGCGATAACATGCTGTGAATAGCAATTGCGAAAGTAGTGTTTAAAAAAACAATAAAAAAAAGCATTGAGAAATATGGTCTTCCATAAAACATACATTGTTACTTTGATTTATGTAATAGGCAACAAGATATAAACGATAAAAATGTACAAACTCTTATTTGTATGAGGATTATTTTCTTTGTCAAACTATTATGATTTTATCACCAAGCTTTTATTCGTCAAATCTCTGACATAGACTACTAGATTTATCCGCGACGCCGTCCGCGTGATATTTAAAAAACAAAACAAAAGCATGTAAGTAGCCTACGTGTTCTACCAGACTATCCTCTACATCTATGTCTTTCATCGAGATCAGTTCTGCAGTTTAGGTTACAAACATCCATCTATCCATCCAAACTTTCGCATTAAGATTGTAATGCAAAGTCGCCAAGTGTTAGTTATATTTTTCAAGAATTCAATATGTAGGATTTGATTAAAGAGTCAACCTTGGTGACGATTTCATGTGGTTGTAGTCAAGCACCACGCTTAATAATGCAAAACGCAATCTACATCGCTGAGAACTGCAGACTGGAGAAGCGAGGGAATGAGGAAACGATGTATAAACAGTCAAGCAAGCATCGTTTAAAAATCTCGAATAAAAAAATTATTTATTTTATTAACATGTCGCATTGTTACGAGATCGCAAACTGGATATTAGTTGTTGCTCCGCCAGTTTGGCATCACTCACTCTTCACTTAAATGTCGACCTCGTATTATTATTATCGCTATCAAATTTTTAAATAAATTAACTGAACTGCGCTCGTCAATTTTAATTATTAGAAAAAAAAAATTCATTTAACTATTTCGTAACATACTTTTAAAAACAAAACAGCTAAGCTATGCTGGATCATTTTGAATTCTAATACAAAGGTAGAACACTAACTAAGAAAGTATAGATTACTGCTTGAATGTGAAGTTTAGAAAGGAGTAGATTTAGAAAAGACGCCTGATAGAGACGTATGGAATAGTAGTTATTACATAAAATGAGTAGGTCCTGTGCCGACCTTTCGAAAGACAAAGGCTGATGTACTTATATATTCTAATAAGTTTTGCCTATCTAAAATGATTGAGTTCTAGGCCACAATAATTCCCTAAACAGATAATCTGTTTATTTAATTAAGATAAAACGCATTATGAATGCACGCAATTAAGATATGTAATTCAATTACGTCCGCACCATGTTTAATCAGCTGGATGGTTTAATTATTTTTAGTCTGTGGCTAAATAAGCAACACAATCACGTTTAATTTGTACTGACAACCTTTCACACATGTATCAATATTCATGAAGTATTCTCGTTTCCGAGATTCTCATTACTGGGTACTAAATTGCTTGTCGAAAAAAAAATCTATACGCATAAATGGTCTGACTTTCCGTTACAATACAAATCTTTTCAGCATTTTTTTTTACAGAAATTATCATCTCCCCTACTTTATCCTTCTCCCGTAAGGTCGGTGCGCCGGGTGTTCGTCCTCCAAATAACTCTATCATCCGTCATCTCAGTCATCACTCCCTTCTTGATAATGTCACCTTTCACGCAAACCATCCACCTCTTTCTAGGTTTTGCAGAAATAACGTTATAACAGAGAATTTAAAAGCATCTCATATTTCAAAACATGAATCAGAAGTTTATCTTAAAGTGGTAATTATTTAGTGAGATAAAATCAAAACAACTTCAAGCAAAAGTATGTCATAAAAATTAATCATTAATGAAAGGAATATAAACAGATGCTTGTGGTGAAACATCCGTAATAAAAATAGTTTTATCTCAGCATTTTTAAGGAGAAAGAAAGAGATGACCTTATAGTTTACAAAAATATTTACTTTCCTGCAGTGGAAATTCAGCACATACGCAGAGTCGTAAACATCGATCGACTCTAGAATGGTCCACATATGACTAGATAAAGACTTGCCGCCATCAAGTCTAGGTCTAGGATAAATGACCTAATATAAAAGACATTGGTATGTCGTCTTACTATTTCATACTAATATGAAAATTGCGAAGGTTTGGATGGATGTTTCTTTTTACGTCTCTTAATGACATCCTGAAGAAATGTAGAACATAATCTGTAGCAAAGTTTAAACTTGTAATAAATGTTGTATAGTTTAGTTTTGACTATTGTCACGACAACACAACATATGTACCAGTCCAAGTTTTAGTCATAAATTCACGATAAGGTGTGCATTGATGTATGACAAAACTGCTATCTTAAATGTTTGCAACTAACTATAACTAACTATATCGATATTACTAAAATAGTTAATACAAGAATCCTTCAACTGTCATAACGGACACATTATGTTTAAAGAACAAGAAAAATTGTTTATTATTGTATTTCAATCACATGTCATATTAGAACATAAAATTCGTTGAAAGCAAACTTAATTCTTGCCAAATGCGTGGTTTACACGTAACTAACTAAAAAAGCGAAAACTGATTGATGCCAAAAATTACAACTATTTTTACAACGGCCTTTGTTTTTGCAAGTGACTTTTACGTGGGTAACATCCATGGTCTTTAGATTCTAAAGAAGTATAATAAAAAAAAATTAAAATATTTCTCTAACATATAAGGTGAAACTTTCATCAAAGTTTTAAGTTAGTTCAGTAGTGGTAAGTGGTAACTTAAGGAAATTACGAAAAGCTTTCTAATGTTTATAAACAGAACAATTATGTAACAATCGTGCATTTACTGTACATTATCTTGGTTATATAGTTAACAGTTTAATTGTTGCTACTTTTTTAAAAAATAATCAGGCTAGTAATTTATGTTCTTAAAAAATATTACAAATTAAATATGTCATACTCAAAAGCATAATTATTTTTCAAAGTATAAGCTCTGTCGGAGTAAGGAAATCACATCGCCACTGCCGCAAGAAGCCATCTTTTGAAAAGCAGAATGAATCTAAAAAAATAGTAATAGTATATAATTATAAAACATAGTAAATAAAAACTTACCTATGTGGTACGTCTTCAGCAACAAATATATAATTAACATGGACCATAGATACCATTACTAAAGGCAAACTAATTAAAATATATTGAAATATCTGATATTTCGAAAATTTTTCAAAATCTTTAAAAACATCACTCTGCGCTGTATTAATATTTAACACCGTCATTTTTAATCTTAATTTAAAGATACTTAAATTACTGTATTTTCTATAAAATAATTTCGTATATTTTGGTACTAGTTTTAACACCGCAGTATACGGATGCCGAGAAGCTACTAATTGAACGGCGCGACAATACTATAGAATAAATTTTGCGCGCGCGTACGATAAGCGACAAGTTCGCAGATTTACATATATAATTAATGACTGTCTCTAAACTACTATTCGAAGAATTATTTTCTTTAAATTACACTAATAAAATATGACAAAACGGACGTAAAATTTTTCCAGAGATTACGTACGTCTTTCATGAACAAACATTTATTTGTATACAATGTCGATGGCTGATATCTCAGGTTGGCAGAAGGTTAAGGGATACAGTAAATATATTATATTTCAAAGTGCTTTTGTCTAATTTTAAATACCTTTAAGTACATAAATATGAATTCATTGGACAAGTGAATCGACATGACAAGGTAAATTGGAAAATTGTTTCGAAAAATCTAAAAAATTGTTCTCACCAAAGTTGTGTTATTATGTTTAGAGCAGTTTTCTTCAATTCGAAAATAACTAACTAACTAGCTACATATGAAACATGTAATTGATATACCTTGTTAATTTACGCCCTATTTGTCCTTTTCTCGTATCGTAATGATAGAGCTTTGAGTCTAATAAAAGCATTCGAGATATAAATTATGATAACCGTTATTTTTAAGCTATTATTAACGTACCGAATGCATATTGACATATTATATGAAATTTCATATGAAATTAATTACGTAAGTTAAAAGATTAAAAGAAAAAACTTTAAATTGTTAAGAGTCGAATTGGCGTGTATTATTGTAGGAAGACTTCCGGTGAAGCAGCTTTGTTTATTTCCGCTGTAAAAACATTAATGCACAAAAATGTTTTTATCTCTTTCATTCTCATTAAAAAACTGAGATAGCCATATGTTTCTGTAAGGGTGCTTCAGTCGTGAAAACCCATAAGATATAACCAAGGTTTTGATCTTTATCGACAATGTTATTGAGTTAACAAATTGACACAATAGGAGCACTTCGAATAATAATTAACACATGTTACGTCAACTCACATGAGACCATCGCGAATACTATTGTAAAAAAATAATTTTCTGAAACATTTCCACTGAAGTAACATTTATAATTTCATTGTCTTGGTCATGGTTTAAATTTGAATAAAATATGTTGATGATTTTTCGAGATATCTAAAGAAAAGTGAACGTTTTCATAAATTTTAAAGCCCTCTAGCGACGAAACTACGCAACTTTGGATAGAGAGAGAAAATGGTGGAAGATGAGAGTGGACTAAATACGTGCGGAAGCGTGAATTATTCAATTTCCAGCCACAGTAAAGATGTTTAAAAAAAGTTTAATTTTTTCCATCTGAAAGAAGCGTGAGATCTACTCAGTTCCGACAACTTGACTACGGGTTTCCTTATCCATAAATAGGGAGGAGACCATAGAGTAAATTAATTTAACGTATATTTTTGCTGGACTTAGATTTCCGAAAAATGTAAAACGTCCATATGCAATAAAAAATGTTATTCTCTTTGCTATTAAAACAGTTAGCACATGTAAAGCATGCAAATTTTAAACAAGGAAATGTCAATACTTTAAATGTTTACTCGAACTAACTTATATCTTCTCAATAGTGCTGTTTAGAGTTTTTATATTTTATCTCCAGATAATTTCTGAAAATTAAATAATTACTGCCTGACAATTTTTCCATTTTGTTTTTAATTTACGTTCCCGTCAATATGTATTTCCGTTAACGCAAAATCAGTGTCGTAAACTCAGTTATGAGTTATACCATTCACAGCCTTATTGTTAGGCAATAAACGAGATTTTCAAATCTAGAAACACCGTAATAATCTTGTACAAATTCCCAAACTACTATCCCTCAATATGTGTGTATTTTAAATAAATCCTACTTAAAGACGAGTCCCCGATCAATTTCCGAGATTTCAATGAATCCAAATATTGAATTTAGTACCTACTGAGAATGAACTGCTAACCTATTATGTCACTTTTTTCTTGAAAAACGAGTTCAAATGACTTGTCTACACAAATTTTACGTTTTTACAAATATTTATAATATCAATTAGGACCCGCTTTGAATAACTAATTCTTACAAATCTCCTAATCGTTTCTATAAAAAACAACATAGCCTTTGAATTCAATAACAATAAAGCTTATTTTAGTAATTACAATCGATAAAATGAATCTCAGAAAAATTGTACGCTCTACATGAAAATTCGATAAACTAAATATAAACAGGTTTACTCAAGGCCATTGACGTTTAAAATGCCTTTGACTTGCAAAAATGTGCCAATATTTGGTATTCCCATATCATGTTCGAGTACAGTTGGCAATTAAATTATTATAAACTTGACCAATTCATGGAAAAAGCAACAACTTATTTAGAAACAAAGCTGTGTAAAGAAAAAACTAAATCGGTCCAGCCGTTTCTAACATTTCCCGGAACAAACGTGGAAAGCAGAAAAACGGGTTTTGCTGTTACGTACAGAAACGACAATTTTGTTTTATCTTCATTATTCTTTTAATATTATTATAGGTAAAGACCAAAGTTTTATTTTATTTCAATAAAATGATGCTTCGTTCAAACGTTATTTACTTTTGTTGCAGATTGTACACAACTTAGAAAACCAGATAACGGCGTAATATCTTTGATTAATATTTAATATTTGATAGAAATGCGGATATCTACAAAATTTTACAAACAGATTCATTCTTATTTCGTGTGTCTTATGAATAGTTGATTCATCATCATCATCAACCTTTGTACTCTTTTTAGAATCGGCTCAGTACTCTTTCGTACATGTCTATCAGCCTTTTTAATGTTTTAATTCAAATCATTCTTCATTTCCAGGCCTACTTCAATCACTGGCTTGTATAAAAAGGTAGGTTAAAAGCATGGATTTTATGCTTGTTTGATTTTCGCCTTTTTGATGCTAACTATCCCGATTGGTAGTGGTGGTGAGATTCGTACTAATAACAGAAATTAAATGATTACACTGTCAATAACGATTCGATGCGATATAAACATAATCTAACATTTCTAAGCAATGACCAATCTATTTTAAGAGCTCAGTGTATTCTAATTCTCGCATACTCTTTGGTAACACGCGCGAAAGGTAGCATAGACAATTTCTACGCGCCATGTTTTGACAATGACATATGTCTAGTGTCTGAATCGAGTTTTTGTATGTTTTCTGAAAAAAAATCAGCAATATAATTTTATAAGAGAAAGCTATTGATTCAATGTTTTTTAAAATTAACAGCCTATTAATAAATTAATGATTCGTCATTTGTAACCATGCACATTAAGCAGGTAAAGATATTTTATACCAGTATGTTGTGGATTTTTAAAGTTTAGTATTTTCAATTTTTTAGTTTAATGTTATTGTTTTCAGGTTATTATACAAGGATTCAAGAGTTACCGGGAACAAATTGTTGTTGAACCCTTTGATAAAAGACATAATGTGGTTGTAGGGAGAAATGGATCCGGAAAGAGTAACTTCTTTCATGGTTAGTAAAAGCTATAGATTATACCCGAGAGTTCAAGAGCATTATTGTTCTAACACAGTAACACTTATTACATTGTATAAGAAAAGTCGGATTAAGCAACTATGAAATGTTAAAAAATCAGTTTCTTGTTTGTATAAAAAGATCTGTAAACATTTTTTTTAGAGGGTAGACAATTGTACGACTTTTTAATATAAATATTATTTCAGCCATACAGTTTGTGCTCAGCGATGAGTTCTCACACCTCAGACCGGAGCAGCGACTGGCATTGCTGCATGAAGGCACAGGGCCAAGGGTTATATCAGCCTTTGTTGAAATCATATTTGATAACTCTGATCACAGAATACCGGTAACATTTATCATTATAAATATTATTCTTAAGTTTAGATGCATATGATTTTACAATAATATTAAGACATTACTAATAAGTGTTTACAGTCACATTATATTTCTATTTAAATAGATACAAGCTTCTACCCTCAACTCCATCTGGGAAATAAAAAAAACAATAATAAGTAGCCTATGTATTCTTCCAGACTATTCTCTACATCTATGCCAATTTACACTGAAATCCATCCAGCAGTTTACTCTACAAACTCTAAGAAACATCAATCCATCTAAATTTTCGCATTTGTAATATTAGTAAGATTGATAATTTATTTAAAGTATGTGTATTAACAGTTCTTTTTGTGTTCTAGATTGAAAAAGATGAAATATTCTTAAGAAGAGTGATTGGATCAAAGAAAGATCAATTCTTTCTAAACAAAAAAGTTGTACCTAGATCAGAGGTTCTAAACCTTCTAGAAAGTGCTGGATTATCCAATTCTAATCCATATTATATTGTTAAACAAGGAAAGGTATGTTATAACATTAGTGTTAAAAGAAACTTTGAGTTTTACTCATATTTAAATACTAGCCGTCTCCAGGTGAAATAAAACAATTTAGGAAGCCTATGCATTATTCTACATTATGTTCTATGTCTGTACCAAATTTCAGCAAGATCTGTTGATCCATTGGAGATATGTCATAATAAACATCTATCCATCCATTTAAACTTTCACATTTATAACTAATATTTAAATATAATTACAAACCAGTATGATTGAATAAGTGATATGTGCTCAGTCAGCATTTTTTCAAATTCTCCTGTATCTCATAAGTAGGCAGCACTACCTGGGTTCTTCTCAAGTATCCATGAGGATTCCACCCTTGATTGTAAAAAACTATGAACTTGTTAGACTTAAATAATAGCATAACAATTGTATTTTGCTGAATGGAAACAAATAGATTTTATGAGAAATGGGCAAATTTGATATTTTTAGTATAGTAATGTAACTTGTATGAACAGATCAACCAAATGGCAATCGCTCCAGATTCCCACAGACTGAAGTTACTTAGAGAAGTGGCTGGTACAAGAGTGTATGATGAGCGCAGAGAGGAATCTGTTACTATTCTTAAAGAAACTGTTGGAAAGGTATAGTATACAACAATCTGGCTGTGCTTATTATTTTCATGTTTAGTAGAAAAAAAACATACTTCCAACTATTAGTAGTACTTTAAAAGTAGACAGGAAATGTATTATCATGTGTGTTCAATATTTCTATCAGCAAAATAAGAGAATAAGTAAGATTGTTTAAACAAGTTGAAAACGGGATTTAAAATGTTGTTGTACTAGATGTTGCATGCGGCTTTGTCCACGTGAAATAAAACAAATATAGTCTATGTTATTCAGAGATAATATAGCTATTTAATGGTGAAAGAATTTTTGAAATCAGCTGAAAAGTTTTTAAGTTATTTCAAAATATAAAATAAAAAATAAATAAAAATCTCAAAATATACTGAAATAAAAATCTTTTCTCTTTATAACATCTAGATGACTTGTAGTCTAATTCTGTAATATCATAAACAAAATAACAATATTTATAATTTTCTAGGTGGAAAAAATAAATGAGTTTCTACAGACTATAGAAGAACGTTTAAAGACTCTTGAAGAGGAGAAGGAAGAGCTGAAGGAGTATCAGAAATGGGACCGAGCTCGCCGAGTGCTAGAATTCATCATACATGATACCGAGCATAGAGAGAACAAGCGGAAACTAGAAGAGGTTAGAGAAACAATTAAACTGTTATTTTTAAAATATAGTCTTTTATACAGACACTAGCTGTTCCCGTGCGACTTCATACGCACGAAATTATGAAAATTTTATTTTATTGTTTACATTTGTCAAATTATCAATTACAAATGGCAAAATGATATGACATGATGACAACTTTGTTTCCTTGATTTTGGCAGCAACTTATCTCTTTCCCACATTAGGGTTTTTATCCAAAATATTTACCCCCTAAGTTTAATGGCATTAAAGTATAGCCTAAAGTGTGACACAAGCGCTTTTTATTAAAAAAATAATTATTCAAAAATATGTTGTAATGGCTGACATCTTAGGAAACAAAGAAGTGTGTGTTTACGCTTCATTATAGTATAGATTTAAGAAATATGTAGTATAGATATTGGGAACAACATTTTTTCACTGGTAACTTCTTTATATGGTAATATTACAATGTAAAATTTGACACAATGTTGTTTCTCAGTGTTTGAAGTAGCGCTAGTGAGTTATGAAAAATATTACAAATGAAGTCAACTATGCTAACTCTATATGTTTTTTTAATCTCTTGCTTTTTCCTAAAATGTGCATTAGTGTAGCGTTTTTTTATTAAAAAGAATTATTTAATAATCATACTTCATACTAATATAAATGCGAAAGTTTAGATGGATGGATGTTTGTCAGAGTTTGTAGCTTAAATGCTTGAATGGATTTCGATGAAATTTGGTATAGATGTGAAGGATAGTGTGGAAGAAAACATTGGCTACTCACTTTTGTTTTTTTTAGTTCCACGCTGACGGAGTCGTGGGCGAAAGATAGTATATTATAAAACTAAGTTGTTTGTGACTTTATTATATTAGTATAGATTTCAAACATATTTATATTTGTTACAGTTGGAGAAGATGCGTTCCAATAGTGGCAAAGAGCAGCAGCATTATGCAGACTTGGTGAGAGAAGCCCAGGACCATGTGAGAGAGGCCAACAGGTACCTGATCTAGCACTGGCTTGCTGTTGCCTGCGACTTCGTTCACGCAATATTAAGAAAAAAGAAGCCTATAATATGTCCGTCTATGTCAGCCACCCTTCAGTGAAAGCCCGATCGAAATCGGCCCAACCGTTTCGGAGATAACCCGGAACAAACGCGGACAGATAGACAGACAAAAAATCGTTATCAGCAACTGAAATACTTCATTGTCTCGAAATCTGGAATTAATCTATTGATGTTGCAGGCACTCCAATTTTATGATTTATATAGATTCAGCGTTTACGAATTTCGCATTCGATACTTCGTTTACTTATAAAAAGAGCCATTTAATTTTTTTTACTTGTAGAAAACTAAAAGAAGCTCGCAAGGATGTGGCAGCTGCTAGAGAGGAAAAGGACATCCTGTCTACGGAGCAGCAGCAGCTGCTGCGGGAGAAGACCAAGCTAGAGCTCGGAATCAAAGACCTCACTGATGATGTGGATGGAGATAATAAATCAAAAGTAGGCTGATTTAATATTGTTCTAGAAAATTCCAATTTACTCGAAACAAGAATTTTTAATACTATGTCTGTCATATGAAATTTTTTAATGAAATTAAAATAATTTATGAGCTAGCCATCCACCCCAGCTCCGCCTGTATGGTTAAGAATATATGTATATCTTTCTATCATGTCCATACCCTTCTCAATGATGATCTGTTTATATTTCAGTGATGTTTTTTTTTTATTAATTGAGTAATTTCTAAACGTTAATATAAACAAGAAAACTATATTTTTTATTAGTATAGTAGTCTAACTTGAAGAACTTTACTGGCTTGAAAATTTAAAAATGTACATGTCACATCATACACATTTTCAGGAATTATGTTTTATCGCACTTCAGATTTACTTAAAGTTTTTTTAGACTGATTACAGGTAAAACTAAAAAAAATATCGCAATATGATTATGGTACTAAAAATATGAATTTAAATAATTCAAATTGTGCAGTTAACATAACTTTATTAAAAAAAAATGGTCATATGTTTACAGGAAAGAGCTGAAGCAGAGTTGGAGAGACTGAGACAGCAGATAGCGGAGAAGGAGAGAGAGTTGGAGGAGTTGAAGCCGAAGTACGAGGAGATGAAGGCGCGCGAGGAGGAGTGCACGCGCGCGCTGGCTCTCAACCAGCAGAAGAGACAGGAGCTGTACGCCAAGCAGGGGAGGGGAACTCAGTTCACCTCCAAACAGGATAGGGACAGATGGATCGAGAAGGAATTGAAGTATGTCAATAACGTTACTTAGCACTTGGATCTTATACTAATATTATAAGTGCGAAAGTTTAGATGGATGGATGTTTGTTAGAGTTTGTAGCATTAACGGCTGAACGGTCTTAAAGAACATGTAAGCTACTCTTTTTTTTTTTAATGTCATGCGAACTTAGTCGCGGGCGAGAGCTAGTTTTATTTATATACTGCCAGCCAGACGGAGGCAAAATCATTTTAGAAAGAAAGAAAAAAAAATAGAAATCTCTAATACATTTAAGATGTGTTTAGATTCGTTTAATTGTTACTGAGAAATTCGATTAGTATTCATTTCTAATAAGTAATGTACACTAAATGCCCATATTCTTCTAATTTAAGTACTGTATTCTAGAATGTACTGGATTGATTTATCAATGGAACTGATAGAATTATTTTTTACAACAATCTGGTGTAACAGCATCGTAATAGAAACTAACATAAATATGTTATGCACCTTTATGATGATAGAACTAAGAGCTATTTTTGTACCCTGTTATTTCTTTTTTCAAGGTCATTAAACAAGCAAATTAAAGACAAGAAAGACCATGAGAATAAACTTAAAGAAGACTTACGCCGCGACGCGTCGAAGCTGACAGAGTTACAGAAGAGAATAGAAGAGACGACGAAGGAGATGGAGAGGCAGCGCGTGGCCATCGACGAGCACAACAAGCAGTACTACGAGTGCAAGAAGAGAAAAGACCAGGAGCAGAGTACTAGGAAGTAAGTTTAACTTGTCGTTAATAAATTATTTATTAAGAAATAAAAGTTACCTAAAATGCAATAAAAGGAAGATTTTAAATAAAATTATAAGTATTTTTTTAATAAATGGTCAAGTTTTAATATCGTGAGATGGCAAGCAAGAGACTGAATTCTCTGAAATGGCGAAATTACTTCTACCCATAGACAAACGAAATTATAGATGCATTGCCTACCTTTAGTGGACGGAGGGGACATACATAAAGGGGATATTCCCCTACCGCGTCACGTTTACCGTCTTCCACTTTCCCTTCCCCTTTACTTATAAGAAGGATGCGAAGGGAAAGGATCAAATTAGACTTCCGTCACACGCACTCATCAAAATGTACTTGTAATTACTTCCATTTCACACTGTTTTCTTTGTGTCGTGTTTTACTATATCACAAGAAAAAAAGAAATTTCCAGACTAAGATTGTATAATGTTTATTTTCAGTGAACTTTGGCGTAAAGAAACAACATTGACACAAAACTTGTCGTCATTGAAAGATGATTTGGCGAAAGCGGACCAGGCGCTGCGCTCTATGGCTGGAAAGGTAATATTATTAAAAACTAGCTATTCCCCTGCGGCTTCATCCGCTTTGAATTATAAAAAACTAACTGTTGCTCGCGACTTCGTCCGCGTAAGATAAAAAAACATGGCCTATGTTATGTTATTCAGCGATGTAGCTTTTAAACGGTGAAAGAATTTTTAAAATCAACCCAATAGTTTTTGAGTTATTATAATACATACAAAAATACAAATCTTTCCATTTTATAATATTAGTATAGATTATAAAAAGGAAAGAAATACAAATGCAACAGCTTTCGCCCGCGACTCCGTCGACGTGGAATTAAAAAAATAATGGAGTAGCCTATGAGTTCTTCCAGACTACCCTCTACATCTATGCCAAATTCTAACATCCATCCATCCATCCAAACTTTCGCATTTATAATATTAGTAAGATAGATTAAGGTATAAAAAATATTTATATGTACCACTAGTAGTAATAATATTTAAATTGTTTTTTTTTTAGCCTATTTTGAACGGACGAGACAGTGTCCGTAAAGTGTTAGAGACATTCCAAGAGCGCGGCGGCGAGTGGGCTAAGATCGCCACACAGTACTACGGACCTGTTATTGAAAACTTTACTTGTGAGAAAACTATTTATACTGCAGTTGAGGTAATGTACAATGTTCATATTAGTGTAAAAATTAAATTAAGCAATTTTTATTACCGAATTATTTGTGTATTACTGTTTTTTTTTAAAGATCTGAGTATAATTTTATGTTTTGAGTACTTAAAATCTTAACATAGTTGTTATTAGAAAGCTGAGGATTAAAAAAAGTGATTTTTCTCTTTTTTTTTTCAAAAGAAAGCATAATAAAACCGTCAAATACATGTATAGTCGAATTCAATGGAAATGAGATTTTTTATATCATAAGGTGGCAAATGAGCAAACGGCCTGCCACCAGAATCCGCCAAAATGGCGAAGTAACCGCTACCCATAGACATTCGTAACAACAAATGCGTTGACTACCCATAATCGTCGGAGGAGATGCACATAAAGAGGACATTTCCACCTCCTATGCTCCTCCACCGTCAAATCCACTTTTCCTTCCCATACTTTCCTCTTAAGAAAAGGGCGGACAGGGTAAGGGACTAAAATTAGGCCTCCAGCACCACACTAATCAGACGAAACGCGGAATTGCTTCCACTTCACGTCTGTTTTCTGTGTGCTCGTGGTATTGCTCCAGGCCATTCGGGCGAAGATGTTAAAACGGGCTCTACTTGTGGAAACTATCGCATTTATAATATTAGTACATTTGTATAGGTGACAGCGGGCAACAGGCTGTTCCACCACATCGTGGAGTCAGACACGGTGGGCACCAAGATCCTGAAGGAGATGAACCGGCAGAGCCTGCCCGGGGAGGTCACCTTCATGCCGCTCAACCGTCTGCAAGTGCGCGACATGATCTACCCTAATGACAACGTGAGTGCACTAAGCGACGCCCTTAGGATAGATTGCATCTCAAACATTTATTGAATAATATGTATTTATTATCTTTCACCGGCGACTCTCACTCCGTAGAATAAAAAAAAAATAACCTATCTAATCTTCCAAATTATGCTCTACTTCTATGCTAAATTTATTTAAATCTTTTCAGCAATTTAGGCTAAAATTCTAACAAACATCCATATGCTTTCATTGCATTTATAATATTAGTAACGTAACTCTATTTCGCCCTCGACTATATCCAAGCGGATTTTAAAAACGTATTTAGTAGCCTACAAGTTCTTCCATAACACCTATTTTACATCATACTTCATATTAATATAATAAATGCGAAAGTTTAGATGGATGGATGGATGGATGGATGGATGTTTGTTAGAGTTTGTAGCCTAAACGGCTGGACGGATTTTGATGATATTTAGTATAGATGTAGAGAATAGTCTGCAAGAATACATAGGCTACTCACTTTTGTTTTTTTTTAATTCTACGGATTGGAATGCTAGTTTTCTATAAAATTGCAGCGAAATCTGTTATTTTGGAAATACGTATTCTCTTATCTATCCATGCAAATTAGAATTTACTATTAGTAATATTAGTAAACAGTAAATTACTAAGATGACCTTGTAAATTATTTGAAAATCGGTCTATCATACAAAACACTGCGGAAACCCTTGTTAGTACACATAACTAGTAAAATAACTACGTTTTTGTTAAATTTAACATATATTAGTCACATGATTTAATAAAACTTTCAAACAAAATATTCATTACCCATATAAATGTTTCCAGAACGCGATCGCAATGGTACAGAAGTTAAAGTACGATCCGAAGTACGCGAAAGCTATGAAGTACATATTCGGGAAGACGCTCATCTGCAGGAACCTGGAGTGCGCCACAGAACTCGGCAAGCAGTTCCACCTCGACTGCGTCACGCTGGAGGGGGACCAGGTAAAAAAAAAATTACCCTCATAACACACCACAGAACATAAAGAACCTCCTATTTGTTGGTTAAAAACATAAGTACACAGAACATAGAGAATTTCCTATTTGTTGGTTAAAAACATAATTACATAGAGACCCTTTATGAAAGTCGGATAAAATCATAAATACACAAAACATAGACAACTTTTTTTTTAAGTTGGTTAAAACATAAAAACCTAGACGTCTATACATGGATAGGCGTATAAGTATGGGTATTTTGTGTACATTTGATTTTCGCCATTTTGTGCGCTTGTTACTTTAGGTAGACTTGGTTAAGGTAAAGGTAATAAAGACAATAAATCTAATTTTAAATTAGAACGCAAAAGCTGTTATTTTCAAGCCTGTACATAACGGCGGAATGGTGACACATTTAAATCTATACTAATATAATAAAGAGGAAAGATTTGTATATTTGTATGTATTGTAATAACTCAAAAACGACTGGTTCGATTACAAAAATTCTCTATGGCGATGTCTTTTATTTTTTTTATTTACACGCGGACAAAGACTCGAGTAACAGCTAGTATGTAATATTAAAACACTAAATTCCTCTAAATTAACATTTCAACATTTATCAGATAAAATAGCGAATAAAATTCTTCAAACTTATTTTAGTATTCCGTTTGTTAATTAAACAATTTATTCCCAGTACTAAGTACCGTTAACAATTCCAGGTATCATCGAAAGGTTCCCTAACGGGAGGCTACTTCAACCAGTCGCGGTCTCGTCTGGAGATGCAGAAGACGAGGTCGGAGCTGATGGAGCAGATAGGCAGCCTGGAGCGGGAGCTAAGCGCCCTAAGGCAGGAGCTGAGCAGCACGGAGACCAGCATCAATACCATAGTGTCAGAGATGCAGAGGACGGAGACCAAGCAGGGGAAAGCAAAGTCAGTATACGGAATTACATGTTTTAAAAAAAAAATTAATACACATGTCTATAGACAATGTTCTGTACGATAACGTCTTGCCTTTTTGCCAATTTTTACTATGAAAAAAAAAGTAAAGATTCTCACTAAAATTACGCTATTTTGATTTTTTTTTCAGAAAAATGTGTTTTTGAGCGCACTTCTAACTACTGAGTCATGATTTTATTCATATTAAATTTATTTCACTCACAATTTTTACATATTAATTTTGATAGAATAATAGAATTTAATGCTTCAACGATTACAAAATTTAAACATTCATAGATGTAGTACAATGTCCATTAAACTTGAAATGCACACTAAAGTGTCGCTTAGTGTGGAACTAAGGTGTCAGTACTGTGTGGTGTATGCAGGGACATCTTCGACAAGGTGAAGGCGGACATCCGGCTGATGAAGGAGGAGCTGGCGTCCATCGAGAGGTTCCGCGGGCCCAAGGAGCGCTCGCTGGCGCAGTGCCGCTCCAGCCTGGAGGCCATGCAGGCCACCAAGGAGGGGCTGGAGTCCGAGCTGCACCAGGTCGCTACTTCTACAACACTACATTCATACTACTCTATCTAGAGCTCAATATCCGACTAAAACTGGAACTGTCAATAAAAATAAGTCATTTATAATCAGTTACTTTAAATCAAATAGTATGTATATCTTTGTCGTAAAAGATTTGACTATACTAATGTTGTAAAGAGGAAAGATTTGTATTTTTGTATTTATTGAAATAACTCAAAAACAACTGAGCCTTTTTCCAAAAATGTTTCACTATTAAGAAGCTACGTTATCAATGAGTAACATACGTTATATTATAATATTTTTTTTAATCTCACACGGAAAAAGTCGCGTGCAACAACTAATTATAAACATGAACGATTATTCACCCCCGAATCTGTTTGATTAGAAATAAAAACAAAAGTCTATTTGTTCTAGAATATAGTCTACATCTATGCCAAATTTCATCGAGATCCGTTAGCAGCTTAGGCAACATACTCTAACAAAAGTCCTTCCATCTAATATATGATTTACTAGCTTTCGCCCGCGACTTCGTCCGCTTGGAATTAAAAAAACTAAAGTGAGTAGCCTATGTGTTCTTCCAGACTATCCTCTACGTCTATGCCAAATTTCATCGAGATCCATTCATCCGTTTAGGCTACAAACTCTAACAAACATCCATCCATCCATCTAAACTTTCGCATTTATAATATTAGTAAGATGAAGTTTATCAAGTTTTTATCTCTTTCTAATACTCGAGAACTATGTTTACTGCCATTTTATTCGTGGATCTCCGCAGTGTAAACCCACGGTGAACATGTTATAGAACAAGATTTTTTTTTTCAATTTAATGGTTAATATTAAATGTTATGGTACGCAGGAGTTGATGGAGCAGCTGTCGACGGCGGACCAGGGCAAGGTGGACGAGCTGAACGACGCCATCCGCCGCCTCACGCAGGAGAACAAGGAGGCCTTCAGCCAGCGCATGAACCTCGAGGCCAACAAGAACAAGCTGGAGAACCTGCTCACCAACAACCTCATCAGGTGCCAGCTGTGCCCGCCGACATTATCAATTGCTAATGTCAAAATGATGACAATCCATGGCAATCTTTGATGTTGGCAGCTTGTAGTTTATGGCCCCTTTTCCACATTAAAGCTTATTTCCAATTTATTTACCCCCTAAGTTTGATAGCGTGAAAATATATAGCCTAAAGCGTGACGTAAGTGTAAGGCTTATTATTGAAAAAATAATTATTCAAAAATATGCTGTAATTGCTAACATCTTAGGCAACAAAGAAGTGTGTGTTTACGCTTTATTATAATAGTTTAGATAACTTTAGCCCGCGGCAGCACCTGCGCAAATAAAAAAAAATTAGTAAGTAGCCTGTGTTCTTAGACTATCCTCTACATATATGCCAAATTCTGCTTAACGAAGCAGTTAAATCTAAGAAATATCCATTTAAACTTATTATTTATAATATTAGTAAAATAAGTATAGATTGTACAACTGACTATTTTTTTTTTACTTATATATTGTTATATGTCCACAGACGTAAGGACGAGCTGGTGCAAGCTCTCCAGGAGATATCAGTGGAAGACAGGAAGCGGCGGCTGGCGAACAGCAAGTCGGACCTGACTGCAGCAGAGAAGAGAATAAGACAGATCAACAAGGAGATGGAGGAGGTGGAGCGCAAGGTGCAGGCCGCGGTCAAGAACGAGAAAGCACTCAAATTGGAATTAGATAAATGGAGGAATAAAGTATGTACCGGGTTAAATTATAGTTAACTAGTTTTCGCACGCGACTACGTCGACGTGGAAAAAAGTGAGTAGCCTATGTATTCTTCCAGAGTATCGTCTTTTATACCAAATTTCATCAAAATCTATTCAGCCGTTTAGGCTGCAAACTCTAACAAACATCCATCCATCTAAACTTTCGCATTTATAATGTTAGTAAGATTTAATAGAAATTATTTCAATATAAACAATTTTAAGCTTTATGAGTCTGTAAAAAGTTATTAAAACAGACATAAATACATTACTCATATAGTATACAAATACTCTTGGTATATGTCACTATAATATGAATTCGTCTAGATCATTTTCTGAAATCTCTTGTTACTATTTGAAAGAATTAATTAGAAAATAAAAATGAGCACAACAGAGGGGGAGAGGAGAGAGAGAGAGAAAGAGAGAGAGAGCTATGATATGATATCTATAGGAAAGTAGAGATAGAAGATAATATTTTTATGTCTAAACTTCATCCATATGAAATGTAGAAACTTATGTTACTAAGCGATAACAACTTTGTAATGGTGATATAATTTTTCTCTTTTTAAAAATCATTTTTCTCTCTTTCTAACTCTTCTAACTCTTTAAAAATAATTCTTTGTAATATTACTATAGATTATTTATTATTTAAATAAAAAAAATCCGTTTGTTTTGATATGTGTATGCAATAGGAGAAAGAGGCTCAAGACAAGATGGAGGAGGACGCTAAAGGTCTGGAGAAGATGGCCTCCAAGGAGGTGCTGCTGCAGGAGAAGATCCAGGAGTCGCTGGACAAGATCGCGGCGCTTGGAACACTGTCCAACGCGCCGGAGCTGCACGCCAAGTACCAGAAGATGTCGCTCAAGCAGGTCAGACACATTCACTCACTTACTAAGTCACTCACTCACTTACTCACTCACTAAATGAATCATCATCATCATCACTAGCTCATTCAAGCCCCCAACCGAAGGGTTCGGAGCTTACCCTAAGTTAGGGTGACAAGGCCATAACCACGCGGGCCCACTGTGGGTTGGTTGACTTACACATATCTTTGAATTTCTTCTCCGATATGTGCAGTTCACGATGTTTTCCTTCACCGTAAGAACGTCAGGAAAATTATGTACATACAAAAATCGAGAATCACATTGGTACATTGGATTCGAACCCAAGACCTGTAGATTATAAATCAAGTGTTCAAACCCCTGAGCCACCGACGTCTAACTAAATGTTTGTCAATATTTCTATGATATGACTTAGAGAAAAAAATAAAACAGATTTTTGCCAGAAGGGGATATATTTATGTGTCAGTTGTAAATTTTGAAAAATATGTTTCGTGGATCTGAATTGTAGCCGTTGCTATTAAAAATACGGCAGATACTCGTGAACATGACCCATCAAATGATTCGCTCACTTACTGAATGATTTACTCACTCACTGGATAACTCATTCAGTGGAATGAATCACAAATGGATTAACTCCATTATCGACTTATTTATTTCTCTCTGAAAATTGATTTATTAAATGAATGAATTATAACACACTAAGGTGACGCAAATAATTTTACTTTTTAACCCAAAATTGTAACATTTTTCATACATTAATCTTAAATATACATTTCATATGATAATGTTGTTTGTGATAGTTTACAAACAGCATGTTATTATAGTAATCCAAAAATAATAACAGTAATTTCACCTTCTAGTTGTTCAAAGAGCTGGAGAAAGCGAACCAACATCTGAAGAAGTACAACCACGTGAACAAGAAGGCCCTCGACCAGTTCATCAGCTTCTCCGAGCAGAAGGAGAAGTTGTACAAGAGGAAGGAGGAACTGGATATAGGGTAATATATCTATTCAATCTTCAATTATGGGGCAATTATTTCCCACTTGACATTACCGTAATTTTTTTATTTATTGGTAACTCTGTAAGTATCAAATTGAGGAATAATCTCTTACTATAGAGTAAAAACAAACGGCTTTGTATAGACATAACCATTTTTTTTTTAAAAAAAAAAAACACGTTAAAACCGTTACCAGTTTATTGTCTAAAAAAACTCTTGATTAACAGTTAATTTCTATCACTAAAACTTTACAATGCTTAAATATGGAAAAATTTAAACTAAAAATTATTGTGTTTATACATAAATAATACGTTTATAAGTGTAGTTAAAAACAAAATAAAACACAGTTTATAAAGTAAAAGGTGTTAACACTTATTAAAAAGTCATTCACAAAAGTAACAAAACCAAAATAATACAATTAATAATCAATATTTGTTAAAATTAGTGGCAGTTTGAATCTATACAATTTTTTTTTATAACATAAGGTGGCAAACGAGCAAGCGGCCACCTAATACCGCCAAAATGGCGAAGCGACCGCTGCCCATAGACATCCGCAATTGCAGATGCGTTGCCTACCCTTATACGACGGAGGAGACGCACATAAAGAGGATATTTCCCCTTCCTATACATCTTCTCCACCGTCAAATCCACTTCCTCTTCACAACCTCTCCTTATAAGAAAAGGGTGGTAAAGAGAAAGGAACTTAAATTAGGCTTCCAATTTTTTATAACATCCTGACTAGATACGAAAAATTAAAATTAATCTACGGACATTTGACGCTCTCTAATGATACAGATATTTGAGTTTCGTAATAATAAATTTGTTTAATAATAGACAGATATATTAATTCCTTAGCTGTATCCGCGAAAAGATAATCCAAATGATTGAAATCTTCGATATAATTACCAGTTTGAACTTTCAAATGATTTTCAAGTATTTCCACATCACGGGGATCTGATAACCAATCATTTCCACTATAATATAAAACTATAGGAACTGATATTTTAGATAGATCATAATCTGGCGGTAATTTTGTTCCATAGACTTTTAGATTTTTCATATTACCTCTGTCGTACCGACAAAATCTACCAGACTGTACTAACTGGCCGAAATGTACGAACTGCAGTGTAGAAGATCCTGACGGCATATGTCCTAATATAATAGACAACATAGACACATTTATATGTTTAAAATCATAACCAATTATCAAATTTAATAAACTATCACATCTTATAGGTAAAAAATTACAAATAATATTGGTTACGGTATTAAAATATTTAGTACTACCAGAGTATGCGTTCGTATTAATATATTGAAGTATTTTATTTGCTGGTGAAAACATTTTTACTATAGGACTTTTAACATGACTCATCCAAGCGACAGGCGCTAAAGAAAACATCATTTTCACTTTGTTATTGTAATCCGGTTTTAATGATAGCATAACATAAAAACTGGTCGTCCCTTGAGAATGTCCTATATAATATAGTGTTTTCATTCTAGTCGTTTCTAGAATATAATCTATCATTGATGGAATATCGAATTGTCCGATTTCATCCCAAGTGAACGCCCAGAATTCAGGTTCAGATGATTTCAATTTTCTATGCAATTGAGAATGTTTATTTCCTCGAGCATTTCCCATCCATACATCGAATCCAGTTTCCGCTAAGATATATCCCAAAGATTTATTAGGTCCTTGTAATATCCAACTGTCAGATGAATCTAGTATTCCATGCATTAGGAGTACTACTAGATCGTTTCTAGTTGAATTCCTACCTTTAGGAATCCTATGTAACGATAAAATGTATCCATCTTCTGTTGTGACTGTATGCACTTCTATAGAATATTGATATTTTTCAGCCAATTCAGTTATATTTAAAAATACATCCTCGTGTTGTATTTGCGGTATACTGGAACCGTTAGTATCACTTTCTCCTAACACTACGAATACGTTTTTCAAACTATTCAACAATCCCACCGTATTAGATATTCCACCGACAACTTCGTATGCGAAACCGAACATATTGAATATATCCATTTTGTATTGGAATGTTCTAGAAAACACAGGAACTATTAAAATTAGTATACAGATGTGTCTGTACCAATCCATTTTAAAAACACCAAAACACGTCTAACAGTAATACTTCAACCCATTAATATCGTTCAAGTTTTTACACTCATTAACTTAAAACTTAACTCCATTAATGTCTACTAACTTATCTCGCATTCTTTCAAACATACGATTATTTTTAATTTATTTTTTTTAGTATGAGACAATATCTCAAGGCAAGGTGAAATCCACGTGAAATGCGAGCACGTACAAACGATAACAAAATATTAATTCATACTTCAACTGAAATTACGTTCGTATCACAACATGTATTGTTTTATAACAGTTATTGTTTGATTATGAAAAATGTAAACAATAACATAAACACGTAATATTATACGCAGTTGTCTAAAAATATAGATGATGTAAAGATTTCCATTCAATTCAATGTTTTTAGAAACTGCTAACAATTAACAAGCGTAGATTTATGATAAAAGCAGATATGTAAATATATTTTTATATGTCGAGTGTAATGTTGAAGTCAGTAACGGTAAATAAATAGTCTTAAAGAATCTTAGCGTAAGACTAAGAGACAATTTAAGTAATTACGTAGCTCTGAGTGTGATTTATTAGAGTTCCTTTCCTCTTTATAATATTAGTAGTGGTTTAAGGCAGAAAAAACGCGTAGGAAGGGGAAATATTCTGTTTATGTGCATCTCTTCCGTCGACTAAGGATAGGCAACACGTCTGCAATTCCGGATGTTGCTTCGTCATTTCGGCGAATTCAGGTGGCCGCTTTCTTGCCACTTTATAATATAAAAAAAATTAATGTCAGTGGTGAGAAGATCCGCGAGCTGATCGAGACGCTGGAGCACCGCAAGCTGGAGGCGATCCAGTTCACCTTCAAGCAGGTCAGCAAGAACTTCACGGAGGTGTTCAAGAAGCTGGTGCCGCACGGCCGCGGCGCGCTCATCATGCGCGTCGCCGCTGATGACGTCAGCGACGCCCTTGCCGAGGTAACTGCACCCATTTACTCTCAAATATCTATTTTTTTTGTTTTCTTAATAATGTCTGTTAATTATAGTGTTGGTACATTTACTAGATCATCTATGTTATTACTTAAAAGATACCTAAAAAACGTCTTACTTACGTCAATCTTACTTTTTACTTCTTACTAATATTATAAATGCGAAAATTTAGATTTATGGATGGATAGATGGATGGATGGATGTTTATAATTTAGCATAGATGTAGACCATAGTCTGAAAGAACTCATAGGCTATTTTTTTTATTCTACGCGGAGGGAGTCGCAGGAATATTTAGAGAGTATTTCATAAACAATGTATTTCAGCGTGCGAACGCGGACCAGTTCACGGGGGTGGGTATCAAGGTGTCGTTCACTGGCGGCGAGGGCGACATGCGCGAGATGAACCAGCTCTCCGGCGGACAGAAGTCGCTGGTGGCGCTCGCTCTCATCTTCGCCATACAGAAGTGCGACCCCGCGCCCTTCTATCTCTTCGATGAAATCGATCAGGTCCGTATCAACTCGCCCCTTTTACGTATTTTGATTTAAATTTGGTTTATTAACATTGTTTTTCAGATTTCTTGCAATAATAATCCACATGGTATCATGTAACTACAATTATAAATACTTCTTGATTTACTTATTTGCTTAAACACAGACTATGTACAATAAGGATACTACATTACTTGACAACAAATATATTCAACGCAAGTATTTTAATATCACAATGTATGCGGAATTTGCTTGTTTTATGTATCTTCATCCATGTCACGAGATAATAGATCTAGGAGGAGGAGAGAGGATAGTACTTTATTTTTTGTTATAAAAAATTATTGAGTGTTTTATAAATTATCATGCGAATATAAGAAATTGTAAGCATTTTATAAGAAGTACAGAGCCTCCCACTGTCCCTCCCTTGCATCTCTCACAACTCTAAATTTCATGTCCCTATAACACTCCACTTTAGCTGAATTTCTATAATCACGCGTCATTTTTACTTAGTTTTTCATCAATTAATCCATAAATTCCAGGCATTAGACGCACAGCACCGTAAAGCGATAGCGAACATGATCCACGAGCTGTCAGTATCAGCGCAGTTCATCACGACCACGTTCCGGCCCGAGCTGCTCGAACACGCGCACAAGTTCTACGGCGTCAAGTTCCGCAACAAGGTGTCTCACGTAGAGTGCGTCTCGCAGGACGAAGCGCGGGACTTCGTAGAGGACAGCGCTACGCACGCGTAGGTTACGGACGATTCGGAGACAATTTGTTGAACATATTAAGATTTGGAGCCATTTTGTTGAACAGTTTAAGATTTGGAGACATTTTGGTTGAACAGTTTAAGATTTGGAGACATTTTAGTTGAACAGTTTAAGATTTGGATACAATTTGTTGAACAGTTTAAGATTTGGAGACACTTTGTTGAACAATTTAGGATTTGATGACACTTTGTTGAACAATTTAGGATTTGATGACACTTTGTTGAACAATTTAGGATTTGATGAAACTTTGTTGACCAGTTTAAGATTTGGAAACATTTTGTTGGAAAACACCAAAATGTGTTAGAGACAACAGTGTCTCTGAATTTATCCAACGAATTGAACGATTCAGATACACTTTCATGTCTTATGACTTAGAGACAAGAACTTAATTTTGACGTTAATATATTTTTCTATCCAATTTGACTAACTCCAACAACATCAAGTCTCAAGCGAACTCCAACTCTAAGAATTTTATGTTGATTTTAGATTATAAATAAATTAATTTAAATATTGTTAAGTCTGAAAGCGAACTGGAATCGCCGAATATGCGACTTGACATTGTATAATAATATAGTCCGTATGACATTACACTAATTCTAGTAAAATTCACTTTGAATTTGTTGACATTTAAAATTATAATAGTCCTCAATGTCACCTAAAAGGCTTCTATATCAAATTTATCACCGTCGGTTTCCACTGTTGTAAAACGTGTTTAAAAACATATCATTTTCGTTTATGAGGATGACCAATTTTTTTTATTTTAAGGATATGTTGCCTGGATTTAGTTCATTCCGGGCTTTAGCACCTTTTATCTGACAGTTAATTCTTTAATTTATTTCGAATCCTCGCCAATGCTATATAAAGTTCAGTGCTAAAATGGCGAAAATTAAATATGCACAAAATACCAAATGTGAGGTTTTGAAATTCACGTAACTGATTATTTTATTATTAAGATAGTTTTTATGTTGAACTTTCAATAACAAAAAATTGTAGTTAATTTTGACATTCTTTTTATACTGAATATTAGTGAAAATGTCACTTCTATAAATATTTTTATTATTTTAAAGTAACTGTAAGTTAGACGTGTTATTTAAAATACATGTGTTGGTAATAAATAGATTTATGATCTTAAAGTTTCTGTTAAGATTTGATGTATGAGGTACTTGTTTTTTTATTAAAATTATATTTTGTAAATGTAATTTGTATTTCATTTATTTAAAACACCTTTTTGCAGACCCGAGGCGAGCATGGACAATATTTTCTCGAAGTTGTTCAGACACTTTTGACAACTTTGTAACTTCGTTGTGGATAAAGATAGGTTGAAATTTTGAACATCAATAGATATACCAGAATTCGTTATATTTCGAAAATATCTTTTATATTTACTGGTATACAAATTATAGCTTGTTGTATTCTTTTTAATACGTGTTTAATCATAATTTTAAGACATCTAATGATGATAGAATTTAGTTAGCGGTCTTTCTATAGATGTAGGAGGAATTGAAAAATTTTTAAAATCGGGTAATTTAAAAAAATCATTTTCGTAGAAAATATATCAAAACCCGTATAACATTGTGATAGGTGAAGATGTCGATTGGAAATTTTAACATAAATCTAGTCGTTTCAATCTTCAAATTATACGTCATTCTCGAGAGCTTTGTTTAGGTTTAGATAAAAATAGGAAAATAGCAGGTGGTATACTACTGTAATTGCTAAGACTTCATAATACACACTAACTTAAATTACTAGGTTTTGCATGATATCTAACTCATTTTTAAAGGGAAAGCAAGTCTCGGTTTTTTTACATTTGTTGTTTTTTACATGTTTTTCTAAGATTTCATTTATTTCGGGCAAAGGAGTTAAAAAAACAAGGTAAGTAAAGAATGATTTATTTATACTTGCAACACCAACTGATTTACAATATCCGTATTGTCTTTGAACGTAGAAAATTCAGCTGTCAGTTTTCGCGGGAAAAACTTTAAAACTTATTTGTCAGATATTTTTGTGAAAATATATTTTGCTCGCAGGCACTCGATATGTAAAAAAAAATCTATAACATATTTATAATTCCCTATATCTAGATAAAGATTTTTTAATTTGATATTACATACCACAACTTGAAAGCTACTCAAAACTGGATTAAAACTACATTAATATCTAATAAAGTCCGTTTTCCTATTCTAGATTTTTACTCTAAAGATGGTATTCCACTGCAACAAATGTAAAGAAACATCTTTTAATTGATGTTTTTGTACATATTATGTCAGTGAAAACAGAAGTCAAAGATCAAGACGAGGAAAATGGACTGTAGACATAAAACTACAACTAGAAGGATATAAAAAGCTACTTAGAAGTTAAAATCACGCTTCACAGAATCTCGCAGAACGAAGGCACACCTTAGAAATAATTATTTACAACAAAAGCCTGCTTTTAGCTAGACTTTGAAATAGTTATAGTAAACCGTAACATTAACAATTACTTTATCCAATGGAAATATTTTTTATTTAGAATATTTTGACAATATATCTTTTAATTTAGAGTAATACAGAATAAAATGAGATTTCCTAAAAATTCACAGAAATAGTATTTTAAAGTTCATGAACATTTTTATGAGAAAAAAATTTTACCCATATATACAAACTAATTTACATGTACAACTTCATTAAGAACTGCAAATATACATAAAATTACATCTTCCAAATAAAATGCCTTGGAGTTACAAAAAACCAAAAAAAAAAATATTATAACTTTGAGCTTGACGTTACTAGATATTTTTCTAGAACATTCCCCCACAGTGTACGTTTTGGTCGCCAAATAAATCCCAACACACAAACCTTAAATATTGCGATTCCGATAAAATTATCTTTTTCACTACAGAGTAGAATTAAGTACAAAATAATTAAACCAAGTTTCATACATAATTTACAATAAAGTATTGGCAGGTTTATCAAAACATAACTCAGAGAGGCACCGCGTAAGGCGAGGACCAGTCTCTCTCGAACACCTCCTGCAGCTGCATCCTTATATCTTTGGTCTCATTGCGGAGATGCTCCTCCTCCAGGTCCTGGAAGACGAAGGAGACTCCGGCTGTGGATGTAAAGTAGTCTCCAGACCAGTTGGAGGTGCCGATGAGAGCGCTGCGGTCAGTCACCATGTATTTGTTATGGTTGACGCGAGCGAAGGGAATTTTATCCTGATCTGGAGTCGACGGTACTATGAAACGTTTCTGAAATACATCATGAAAATAAAACACTGCCATTGAAAACCTGGAAGTAGACTTTAGTACGTAAAAAACAGCATTATGCAATTTACACTTAGTCAGAACAGTTGTTTTATAGCGGTCAATGATTGGACTGTCAACAGGTCAACTGGCCAACTGTCCAACTGGCCAAGTGCGAAACACGCATCAAGACGGGAATGACACCTTTCATGTCAGTGTCAAGGGGGGGCTACGACCCCTCCCTTTACCTAAGTGCACTTAACTCACAAAATCAAATACTGAGATAGCTAGTTGCATGCCAGTTAGCGTTTACACTGTAGCTAGCAATCTAGTATTGTTGTATGGAAAAAATCTGATCAAGACAAGGATAATTAGACACAAGAGTAAAATCAGTTTACACACAATTAATACTTACGACTTGTATGTCGACCCCTGGCAAGGCGTGTGCGAGCGCGGCCAGGGAGCGCAGGTAGTGCTGCTGCGCGGGCAGCGAGTGCGCCCACCAGCTGATGAGCAAGCGCACGCGCACGCGCCGCTCCAGCGCGGCCGCGCGCACCGCGTCGTCGATCTTAGGCCAGTACCTTGTAAAGATAATTAACCAAATGCATGATGATGCATTTATACAAGTCTTTCTTCCTTACATAATAGACTATTTTGAATAAAAAAAAAACATTCTATTTTCTTTTTTTCCCCTTAACCTGTGTTCAATTCACTATTGGTTACAATTTATGATATTAAAAAAGAAAAAAATTGTAGGTTATCAAAGTTACATTGCCAGTAACTAGCCTGTTGATTATCAAAAACTAGTGAAATTCCCCGTTAAATTAAACAAAAGATATAGCTTATGTTACTCATAGATAAATAACCTTTCTAATAGTCAATGTTTTTAAATCGCCCCAGTATTTTTTGAGTTATTTCAATATTATAAAGAGGAACATTCAATATTAAAAAATTCTAACACCGCTAAATAACTACGTTATCATTAACATAGACTATATTTTTACTATTTTTTATTTCACACGAAGTCGCGAACAGTTAAAAATTGATAAATATAGAGAATATAATTTAGTTAAAGCTTTAGGTAACAGTGGTTTTATAATAGGCAAAAGGGGTCATAGTTCGTCGCAATCGTGTCATATAGTTCATATTTACGAGTGCAATTTCGCTGGAGTTTTACAACGCTTGCCTCATAAAGCTCGCTGACGGCGCAGCGGCCAATGGCCGACGAGGGAAATGCATCAAACTTTAACACTAACCAATATAAATTTTAACGTCGCACATAAAGTGGAATGCATACAGGACAAAAATTACATTACGACAATATCCGATGACACTCTCCAATCATCGGTTTCTTTCTATAATTAAAACATTTCACATGTCGGTCGCTAGATGGCGTTGGGATTGAAATAGATCACGATACGATTTGAGAGATACTACTAAACAGAAGTTTTATTTTAATAAAACCGTATTCCTAATACCCACATTCATTTTGACCGGAATAAAAAAGAAACATCGAGAATATTGATATGGACATAAGTTTTTAACTTTAACTAGTTGTCGCCTGCGACTCTGTCCGCGCGGAATTAAAAAAAGATGGTTAACTATTCTAAATGTTATAGATCTAAACATCTGTCCAAACATACAAACTTTCCTATTTATAATATTATTATGATTACAAGATCTTACTTAAGTTTGTGCGTGTATACGAGTGCGGGCGCGTAGTCCATCACAGATATGTATATGAACTGTTCTGCCGACTCTATGATGGACACGATGGCGTCGTCGTCCGCGCTGCGGCCCGCAGGGCTCAGCGGCGGCGGTGAGCTCTGCAAATACACACATTACTTTTAGACAATAACATAATTCTACCAAAGTTATTCTACTTCATTACTAAGTGCGCTTTTGCTCTCACTAGTTGATTGTTAGTTGTGCTACTAAAAATCGACTTGTGCAAGGATAAGGAGAAGATGTGGTATGAGATACCAGCCACTCATTTACAAACGTTGTTCTTTGTTAAACTATTCAAGGATCAGTTAAAAATGCAGGAAATGTGACATCGATTGACCATCGAAGTGACAATAGGCAGTCACGACACGCGATACATTGACGTCGGACACTTTACGCGGCAAATTGGAAAATAATAGCCGAGATCGAACGATAAACAAACAAATAGAGACGGCACGCATTCATAAAAATATAGGAAAAGTACACAAATAAATAATTGCAAGGTTTTCCTCAGCAATTTGTTAGAATACAGTTATTTCGTTAAAGTTTTTTGAAGTATACACTTGTCTTAAAATATCTCCATAAAGTCGTAAAAGTGAGTTGGAAATTTCTTATCAATAAGGCCAAGGTTATTTCTCTGTAACAGAATTTTGTCAACAAAAACCTCATTTAGAAGAATTATTCTGTACAAAGCATCAAAATATACAAACCACATAATTTTAAACATGCTCTCGCTATCGGAGAACCGCTTGGGTTGATTTCCTTTGTAGTCTACGCAAAGTTTCTATCTGATAGACGTCTAGTCATTACAACTTGGCGTAGCATCTACGGCGTAGCGTCTACGGCGTAGCGCTCATCGCTACAAAGGTCACGCTATTAAAACTACCGTCATTTATTTTATAAACAAATATTTTAGCAAAATTCAATCTAATAAGATTTTTTACTTTGTATTTATTTATAGTTAGACTATATACATTACAGTTAAAAGGAAACTAAGTTTTTTTTTTTTTATAGTAAAAAGGGGGCAAACGAGCGGCGTGTACACCTAGGTGGTCAACGACGCCCATGGACATCCGCAACACCAGAGGAACTACAGATGCGTTGCCGGCCTTTGAGGAAATGATAGGCTCGCTTCTTGAAGGACCCTAAGTCGTATTGGTTTGGAAATACCGCCGAGGACAGACCGTTCCACAACGCGGCTGTGCGGGGCAGAAAGTTCCGCGAAAACCGCACGGTTGTGGAATGCCAGCCATCGAGATGGTGAGGATGGTACCTGGCGGTCTGTCGCGTCGTCCGATGACGAAACTCGGCGGCAGGAATCGTTCCAAACAACTCCTCTGAACACTCCCCGTGGTAAATGCGGTAAAAGATGCAGAGGGAACTGACGTCCCTCCGCAAGGCCAGAGGATCTAGCCGATCGGTAAGAGCTCGGTCGTTGACGATTCGAGTCGCTCTCTGTTGTATGCGGTCAAATGGAAGAAGCTGGTATTGGGGTGCTCCCGCCCAAAGGTGCGAGCAGTACTCCATGTGGGGCCGAACTTGCGCCTTGTAAAGTAGTAGGCGGTGGCCCGGCTGGAAATACTGCTTCGCCCTACTGAGCACACCCAGCTTTTTGGAAGCCAGCTTGGCCTTGTCTTCCAGATGACCGCGAAACTGAACGTCACTCGATATGTCAACGCCGAGAATACCGATACTGGCTGAGGCAACCAGGGGAGTGTTCTCGAACCGGAGATTGACGACGAAGGGGTCTTTTTTTAGTACCTAAATGCTTCATTATTTAGTCATTAACTAAATTGTCTTATATTATCTAAAAAAAATAACTTTATTACCAAAATTGTTTTCAACATGTATATTTAAAACACTACAAATATTCTACTCGCATGAGAATAATACGAAAAACTTCGAAATTCGTAATAAATCTTGTATTTTCAAACAGCCAAATGTAATTAACAGCACTAGCTGCCGCTGAACCTAATTCCGTTAATGTTCGAGGAAATTCACGAAAATCTTACACCCCTACAACTATTATGAGATTTTCTCACGAATCCAACATTTCAGAGTAATAAAAATAATAGGAAAGAAAACGCGATGGAATAAATCATTTTATAAGTATTCAATTTTTAAACTTTGTGGGATCTGTAGACAATTTTTCTTATACATTTATTAAACAGTTTAAAGAACATAACGCTCAAATGTTCTAGTAAAACATACTTTTAAAGAAATTTGACTTTGTTCAAAGTTAAGTTCTATTAGGTACCAAATATTAACTTTACTGGTCTCTCTTCCCTTGAGGGGCATTAAGTTTTATGTTCATGAAAAAGCTTTTTACTTTATTGTATAACTAGCTTTTGCACACGACTCCATCCGCGTGGAATTAAAAAACACAAAAGTAAGTACCTTGTGTTCTTAAAAGTAACCTCCACATCTATAGCAAATTACATTAAGATTCGTTAAACAGTTTAGGCTACAAACTCTAATATCCATCCATCTAAACTTTCGCATTTATATTCTTAAATAAAATAAGATTATGGTCAACTACTAGTTTCCATATCTATACTAGTATTATAAAGAGGAAGTATTTGTATTTTTGTATTGAAATGACTTAAAACTACTGGGTCGATTTCTAAAATTCTAACACCATTAAAAAGCTACGTTATCATTGTGTAACAAAGGGTTTGTTTTATATTGTTTTTTGTTAACTCTCGCGGGCGAAGTCGCAAGCAACAGCTAGTAATGTATTTGTAAATATATTAAAATGATTAAACTAATAAAGCTATATAATTAATCACGAACATGAAACACTTTATAAAACAACACTAACATAATTACTCCAAATTACTAACAGAGTTCAATTACATTAAACCATAGGCACGCTTTTGTAACGTGAACAAAATGTCAAGGTCGTTTTTTAAAGATTAACCCAAAAAATTATAACTGTACCCAAATTAATATTAAATTAAGAATTTATAAGAACTAAGTATATGAACCTTTACGAATCTAAATATAAAATTAAAATATTCAGCAAAGAATCTTACACTTACTAACATTACAAATGCGAAAGTTTAGATGGATGGATATTTGTTAGAGTTTGTAGCTTAAACGGCTGAGTTCATCTCGACGAAATTTGGCATAGATATAGAGGATAGTCTGGAAAAACACGTAGGCTACTCACTTTATGTTTTTTTTTTCATTGCTTACAGACGGATTCAATGGCGAAATTTAGTTTAAAAATAAAATAATAACTTTTCAGCAAAGTATAAGTAAATAATTGACATTGAGAAAATCGTTTGAGAGTTATGTTTTCGAATAGTTCAATACTTATTATGAACATTTAGCCAACAAAAAATCTCTTGACATATGTATATTAAACAGTGGCTGCTTTCTTAATTCATATGTTTTCCCAAAATATTATAATATTAACAAGAATCAAATCCTCAAATAAAGTATAGGGTATGAAAATAAAGTGTTCATATTCTATTCTAAATTATAAAAGACATCTCTACTTCGACACATCAATTGCCAGACTTGATCAAAGTGGCAATATTGCGTTTGATATGGCATAAAACTTACGAGTTTATTGCGATCGCTTTCTGATACATTCTGATATTGGAAATGGCAACCGGAGCTCGACATATCATTCAGACATGCCACTAGAGCTTGTAATCAAATCAAAAACTTTGGATCGGTATTTTATGCCCATCTTCTTCATTTTACATGACATAAATATTTCTTTATAATTGACTTTAATATTTGTAACAAGTAATCACTATTATAATATTAGAAATTTGTAAATATAACTGTATTTTTATTTTAAACAATCTTCTGTCCGTGACTTCGTCCGCGTGGAGTTAAAAAAACAAAAGCGAGAAATCTATATTTTTCCAGAGTTTACTTTACATCTATGACAAATTTAATTATGATCCGTTCAGCCGTTTAGGCAATAAATTCTATCAAACATCAATCCATCCATTTAAATATTCGAATTTATAATATTGCTAGCTTTCGCCCGCTATTTCCTCCGCGTGTGATTAAAAAAAACAAGTGCTTATGTCTTCTTCCAGAGTATCCTATACACTCATCGTAAATTTCATCAAAATCCGTTCAGCCGTTTAGGCTACAAACTCTAACAAACATCCATCCATCCTTCTTACATTTAGGAACAAACTAAGAACTTTTCGTCGATTACATTAGAAAGTGTTGTGAAGTTTTAAATTAAGTGATATTTTCTTCTTTTGGGAAGTCATTTAAAAATAAATAACAACCAAAATCAAACCGAATTCTATTTATAAACCAAAGTCAAGTAAAGTTGATTATAAGTTATTTGGTTAGCGCAGTAAGTTCTGCCAAGTTAGACGTTAAGTATCGTAAGTCCTCAACAAGTACTAACTCCCGGCTCAGAGTATTAGGTATTTGCGGTTATATATTCGTTTCCGCCCCGGGGAGGCTTCGAGACATGACAAGTTAAAGCCTTTAGACGGGATTACTTCTGTAAAAACAAGTGTGCATTAAGTAAAGCGTTAGTAAACATTTAGTGCCGCACTCATCATCATCCACTTGCCCCTATCCCTTACGGAGGGTCGGCACAGTATGTGCTACTCTTCCGTACATCTCTCAGCCGTCATATCTGAATTCACTCCTTTCTTAAGCATATCCTCTTTCACACAATCCATCCATACTTTCTTCGGTCTTCCTCTTCCTTTGTAGCCATCCACATTCATTCTTAACACTTTCAGGTTTATGTCCCCATCGTCTCGTCGCGTAACATGTCCATACCACGCTAACCTTTTGCACTGATCATGTTAAAAAGTCATTAAAGGCGACTTTAGAATAGAATAATACTGACGTGGCACAGTTTTAATTCAAAGCGACGTTGAAACATGGCGACTAGATATCAACGCCGACGCGGCAATTTCTCTATGCTATACGATTGATTAACTAAAATAGGCGTTTTTTATGAGCTAATATTTTACTGTGAAATAAAAATATGTTAAGCATAATCTATTAACCTTGGTTTTTATAAAATAGCGTGTTACTGTCTTTCTAAAAAACTTAGGGTACTAGGAAATATCGGTGGAAATCTGATATTTGACATATCTATCTTGATTAACGTAAATATGTTGAAATCTTTAAAAAAAAAGTTCTATTTCTTGATAATCCGTCTTGCTGTAACTTAGCTAACTTGAAACGCTATCGCCGCAACTTCGCAAAGTTCAGGGTCTATCCAGCTAACCACAATGCAATATATCTGGTAAATATGTGCTTTGATACTGGGTGGGTGTTTGTGCAAGTGTACATAGTTCAACTTATGTATAATTCAATAGACAATATAATTATAGTAACACTATAAATGCGAAAGTTTAGATGGATGGATGAATGTAGTCTTAAAGGGTCATCGAATTTCGATGACATTTGGTATAGATGTAATGGATAGTCTTGAGGAACACATAGACTAGACAGTTTTGGTTCTGTTTAATACAACGCGGACAGAGTCGCGTGCAAAAGCTTGTTCAATATAAGGGAAGTTAAACTATTACTGAAATTACTGAAAAGGTATACAACAAAAAGTGGATAGTCTAAATTTCTTTAGAGTTCTTAATGTCTCTGGAGAACGTCCGTTCAAGCTCTTAAGTAACCAAATTAAGTTACTTGGAAACGACTATGCTTTGCAACACTACGGTGTAGTTAATTTAATAACGTCTGCTTAAAGTCAACTTGAAATAGGATAACGTTAAATAAAAATTACATTTTTGTCTTTTGTATTGTTAAGTTCAAACTATAGGTTTTTTATCATAAATATAAAAGTATATTGACGTTACAAAGTGCTGTCAGTTATAAAAGATGACGTAACCCTAATCGCCGGAACTACGCCATTTCCGGTTTGGCAAACCACACTTACTTCGAACCTTTTTTATTTCTTTTTCCCTTATTCACAGAATGACAACAATAAACTTCGAACTTTATGACCGATATTTTATAAGTTGGATTCGCAATCGTTCAGCCTTTATAAGTTAAAAACATTATCTCGAAAAAACCAACACCTGATAATTAATTAAAAAAACAACGATTCAATTATTTTTTTGCTTTAAAAGAATTCAGTTGACGTAAGATATTAGAACGAGGACACTATCCTTTTGAATTACGATCTTTAGTACTCAAAAGCAGTTTGAATGTTTCTATAGAGTTAAAATAACTATAGCAACGTCTGTTAAACACCTCTATAAACAAAATTACGTGCATATTTATACAATCGTATCATTTTAATTACTTTGGGAACTCACTTCGTATAATTACATACTAAATGACAGCGATAATGGTAAACAGCGCGAATAGAAAGCGCTTATCGCTGTACGGGAGGTAGTGTATGTAATTTTCACTTCAGCGGTCGTTAGTGAGTCAGAGCTTGAAGCTTTTACCAGCGGAACGTCCGATGTCATTAAACGGAATGGCGGCCGGCACTTTCGCTAAATTGCAATTTGCAATATTTTTATACGTTTGGTAGTTTTAACGGTAAAAGTAGAATTTAAATTTATGCAAAAAACCCTTTGGAACACCTATATTATATCCTGAGTTGTCTAATAGTGGAATACATCGACTAAACATGACATTTTTTAATAATAAACCTATCAATATCTATAATAATAAAGAGGGAAGATTTGTATTTTTGTACGTATTTAAGTAACTCAAAACCTTCTGGGCAGATTTAAAAAAATATTTCATTAATAAATAGCTACGTTATCACTAAGTAATATAGACTATCTTTATTACTATTAGACGAAGTCGCGAGCAACAGCTAGTATTAAATATTTTAATTTTGGTAAAGTGTGCTATATAACCCATATAATACTTTAAAAAACGAGCGGATACCTCAATATTAACTTAATTTAGAGTACAAACAGACTTAAAATATACGTAAATGTTGCTTTACTTTATAACTGCGCCCAGGGGACACCGGGTGTGCATGTAATGGACGTTCAGAGCATCTCTGGGGCTTGTGTCTAATGTCACACTAATTGTTGTGTGAAAGCTGTGCAGCATGTTTTGTCTTTACAGAGCTAGGAAACTTAGAGCCTGTCGCACCAAATTGTAAATTGTCTGATAACAATCCAACGTGTAAATTATAATGATGGAAATATCAGATTTTGTTCCCTTATCTGACAGTGACGTAATTTTTAAGCTATCTGACCCTCTATCAGCCAGTGGTGGGACAGGCCCTAATATATTAATATCATTAACAAAACCTTACATATGTAATTAACCGTTTACATAGTGGCGTTGTATTAAAAGTAAAGTATTTAATAGACTATAGAGTATTCATAATATTAAAAGATAACAATAGTTTGTAATTAACAGTAGGGGAAGTCTTATGTCTAGCAGTGGGCATACAAAGTCTGATGATGATTAGTAAATGACGATGATCTCCAACTTATTGTTGTGAAGTGTTGAGTTCAAATACTGACCGTAATGTACGCGCCGTAGCTGCGCTGGCCGTCGCTAATGTTGGCTGGCCGCTGCATGTTGATGTCGGTGGCCAGCGCGGGCGGCCACGTGGCCGGCACTGCGTCGGCCACACCCAGCTGCCAGTACACCTGGCCATAAACACAATACCATGTACACGAGTGATGTTAAAGAATACAAATAAATTCTAAAACCGTTGTTACATCGAGAATGTTACATATCAGGAATCGAACTTTTGACATTTGTTACAAGTTTAGTGCTTAACCTCTGCTTGATGACTTATATAGCATACTAAACGTCTATTCTAATATTATAAAGAGGAAAGATTTGTTTTTTTTTTGGATTATTGTATGTATTGAAATAATTCAAAAACTACTGGGCTTGACAAAAAAAAATTAACATGAAAAAGCTACGTTATCACTGAGTATATTTTTAATACCACGCGGACGACGTCGCGAACAACAGCTAATAGTAATAAAAATTTGAAAGTTTAGTGAAATGTATGGATGTTTGTTGGTATTAACGGATCTGATTGAAATTTAGCATAGATGAAGATAGTCTGGAAGAGCTCATAATGTACTCACTAAGTCTGGTTTAAATTCCTCGTAAACGAAGATGAATAATACAATTTTGATGTATTTACTATCTCTTTTAAACAGCTATTAAAAATCCATTTATATTAGAGGGTCGTCAAACTTTTATAGACTGGAAGAGTTCAATTACTTTAGTTGAAAGCGCAATTATTTTGGCTCAAAGCGTTTCCTAACGTAGCGTTTACTTTGTGAACTGACTTGTTGACTCCAAACTATTTTAATTAACGCAAGCTTTTTGCTGCTAACTTTGTAAAAATAAACTTAGTAAAAGTGGAGAGTAAAAAATACAGCATACTATTTCATACAAATAATCCCAGTAGATATATTCAATGTTTAGATATTTATTTTATAGTTGATTAGTAAACTAACTTTATTATATGCAAAATGTATCGAAAGATAGTTTTATTCAGATTTTTTAGTATTAAAGAAAATCCTTATTCGAATAAAACAAGGGGCCAAAAACATGTTTAAACACTTTAAAAAAAAAGCAAAGTCGAAAGTGCAGAAAATAATGAAAATTTTAAAATAAAAGACTACCAATTCTTTTGTACTGAATGTATTTGGTGAGGTTTGGAAAAATGCCAAGATTGAGTACTGTGCCAAAATTTGCCAGTTCATCTATTCATACACAAAGGCACCGACGCAAATCGCAAACTGACGTTGGATGAATTTGAATATTGCAGTAGCTTTTAAAACAATACCTTTTATACGTTGTGGTCAGAACGTCTATCAGGCATTAATTTTTTTTAAAGGGCCTGTCCCACCAAATTCTTAATTGTCTGATAACAATCCAACGTGTAAAATATGTGATGGAAATATCGGATTTTGTTACCTTATCTGACAGTGACGTCATTTTTAAGCTATCTGAGCTTCTATCAGCCAGTGGTGGGACAGGCGCTTAATGAAATATCGTAATTAAAACTTTAACCAGATATTAGAAGGGAATTAGTTTATGTTAAATAATGGTAACAGATTATGGTAAATACATAACAAGTAACAGAATAGTAGGTACAAAGTTTCACATAAGTATTTTACACTAACCACTCCTCATAAGTTGGTAAAAAAGGGTACGTTAGAAATATCCCTCAGGGCGGTAGTGACGCTAAAACTGGCACTGTTTATAAGTCTGTTTTAATAAAGTTTTTAAATACTTTGTAATACATTTTGCAGATAACAAACAAATTGTAAAAAATACGACAGAATGATATGAGAAGTCGACATATATTTCTATAATCATAAATGACGAACTAAAAATAAACACTGCATACGAAACGACCTTGTAACTTAGTTACTTGTGTGGTGAAATGAATAATGGTACTCAGATATGTCATTGAAATTAATTATTACAAAAATATATGGAACATTTTTTAACAAAAGACTGTAACGAATATATTAGTGTCACACGAACTAGCCAAGGGCGATGTTTATCAAAAAATCTCTAATATCTTTATTAATAAAACATACTAACATCAATGTTACATTAATTATTCAATTATTGTGAAATACTGCATTATTAAAAAAACATAAAACGAGGTGTAGATCGCAAGATTGTGGTTTATGATAGTACTAGCGTTCGTCCGTGACTTCGTCTGCGCGGAATTAAAAAAAAAATGCAAGTAACCTATGCGTTCTTCCAGACTATCCTCTACATCTATGCTAAATTTCATTGAGATCGGTTCAGCAGTTTAGGCTACAAACTCTAACAAACATCCATCCAACCATCCCATACATACATCCATCCATCTAAACTTTCGGATTTATAATATTAGTAAGATAAGATATATATCAACCATAGATTTTTAAAAGTTCTGTTTTAGTTGATTTAAGTCAATTGAATTTGCTTGGTTTAAACTATTTTAAAAATAAAACACTTGAATGTTTCAAATTAAATCTTATAGGATTAAGTAGCGGATACATAAATGCCCAGATGGAACTTTTTTTCGCAATGTAAAGGTCAGGGCTGTGAAAAAAGATCGTTTACTTTCGCACGACTTTTTTCATTCCTACAAAGTGGGGAAGGTCGGAGCTACAAAGTATGCATGAATATTTACCCTTAAAGTAATGATTTCTTTGTCGCAAGTCACAAGGGGATACATTGTATTCATGAGACCTTGGATGTCCCGAAGGTATTTTTTTTTTTTATAAAAAAAGGGGGCAAACGAGCGGCGTGAACACCAAGGTGGTCAACGACGCCCATGGACATTCGTAACACCAGAGGAACTACAGATGCGTTGCCGGCCTTTGAGGAAATGATAGGCTCGCTTCTTGAAGGACCCTAAGTCGTATTATCTATTACTATTATCTATTATTATATATTATCTAGGTATTATCTACAAGATACAGGTTAAACAAATAGAGATGACATTGCACGGAAACGGAAATCATACTAATATTATAAATGCGAAAGTTTAGATGTATGTATGTTTGTTAGAGTTTGTAACCTAAACGTTTGAACCGATTTCGATAAAATTTGGTGTAAATGTAGTGGATGGTTTGAAGAACACAGGCTACTCAGTTTTTTTTTAATTCTACGCGGACAGAGTCGCGAGCGAAAGCTAGTAATAAATTAATCTCAATTGCGACTTGGTCGTAACACTCAGATAAAGCTTGCAGTCATCTCTTTCCTTGTCTGTATGTTTAGTGTAATTTTTTTGGTAGCGCTTTTATATTTAGCGTTACACTATGAATTAACGTTTATTAACGCTATTCAATCAATCATAGTATTCCAGTATTAAAAATTAAAACGTAGTAGATTTTCGCAGTTCAGTATACTGTAGGGGGTTAATGTGGGGTAGGGTGGGGATTAATTGCGTCTCTCTGTATCCACAAAGTCAAGGTTTAATATTTAATGCGGTGCTAAACGAGAAACTTGTTAGCCCACTGCACACTAGTAAAGCGAACCTTAAGCGACATTTAACAGTTAACAGCGCAAAACTGAATCTAAAGAGCTGCTTGCTTTATTTTCATATCTTCCGTTACGCTTCCAGTTCGCTGTCGGTTGTGTGCTACAAGTCTAAGGCTAGAACAATGCGACAATTATTGTATTGTAACTAATATAAGCTTGGCTTTTAAGCCGCATTGAAATTAATAATTGCATTTATTTGGATTATTGCATTAATAATTGCATTTTATTTTAATTTTAAAAGAAACCGTTCAGATAACTCGACGTAAGATAGAGCCTTAAGAGAATAACACATGTCAAAGTGGATATTCTCAAATCGATTATAATTTTTTGTTTTTTTTATAAATAATTATTGTCCCCTTGAACGAAAAATTTAAAACTAACTTGCAAACCCATTTTAAAAATAACAGCGCAAGATTTTAATAGTGTTTTTGCTCCTTTGTGTACACATTTAGCTTATTACTAATTAGGGTTAAGAGTACTACGGATGACATCGTATTGAAGATAAATGTTTTGAAATAACAACTTTATTGCAAAGCTATAAGGTGCAATTTTGTTAATGGACATTTAACACATTTTTTGAAAAAGAAAATCTCTGCGAGTTTCAGTCAAAACCAGTTGAAAACTATTTTCGTTGCAATAAAAACGTTAACCGGAATGTTTTAAGGACTATTTTTGATTGCTTAGCAATGTAGGCTTTTTTATACGAGTTTATGAATAAAGTAGAAGTTTTTTCATTGTAGCTTTTGTACCTGGATTTTTTCCTCACAAAGAAAGCGCCTGCTTTTGTCGTCAGTTATTAAATGCCAGTAAAAATACAACACTACAGTATACTAAATAATAAACACCTACAAGTGTTGCCATAGCAATTTGATTTAAATTTTTTTACCAAAAAATAGGCATAAATTATTTTACTCTAAAAAAAAATAATTGACTTACATCAAATATTTTCCCCAAATCAGTGGCCATACAAGAACAGTTGTATGCAACAATGCCCAGTTCTTTCACCTGTGGAAAAAATAGCGATTAAAAATATTTTTTTTTTTAAAAAGTCACAAAAGGATTTTGTACCACACTTTCATATTATACGCGTACAAAGGTCTCTGTCAACCCTTTTACGATAACAAGGTGTTATTACTACTTTTTACTTCACAAATAAATTATCGTACATCCAAAAACAAGTACAAAATGCGACATTAACAACTTTCTGTCCCCTTTAGTATAAAGAGACTTTGTAACTAGAATTAAAAGTAAATTGGACTTTAACTGCATGGATATAAGAGCTAAATCGTATTGTTCCCAATCCGGGTATATTTAATTAAATTTTATTTTTCACATGAACCTACTAAATGTTTACTATGTACATTGTAGAAACAGCTGTGTCCTTTTGATATTACACGAAAGAAGTATACAAATGTACTTTCATAATATTATTTTTGTATCATTCAGTATTCTTAAAGAATAAAATAAGAACCGGGCGGTTAAGCCCTGAATTTTTCGCTATTTAAGAATAAAAGGAAATCAATTAAAAAAAGGACAAAATGTAAGAAAACACACACACGTATAAAATTGAAAAAACTTTAAATTTTTTGGTCGTATTTAATTTTACATTAATTACCTATTATGCTGTATATTAAAATGGTAAATAGTATATGGAAGTTTAAAAGAGAACGTTAGTTAACCATTTTATTAAAAAAATTGACTTAATGAAGTTTACAAACCTGAGTAAGCGATCGCCAATCCATGTTAGCACTGCCGATATAGAAATGCGTTCGATCCACGATCCAAAACTTGGTGTGAAGAACTCCGCCGCCCAATAGTTTGGAGAAGTTTAAACTCCGCACCTATAATTATCAAAAAATCCAATTTATTTATTTTATTTATTTCTAAATATTTAATCCTATTTTTTCATTAATTAACCTTACTAATATCATAAATGTGAAAATTTAGATGGATGGATAAATGTTTGTTACTGCTATCTCCAGATCGGCTAAACTAATCTCGGTGAAATTTGGCATAGATATAGAAAATCTATGTGGAGGTACACATAGACTAATATTTTTTTTTTGTTTCACACGCACTAAGTCACGGCCGACAGCTATTAAGTCACATCAATTACCTGCGCCGCTTTTTTCTTAACTAAATACTCTGTATCTATATTAGGATAGTCTTTGCTGGGCCAGTTTTGAGCAATTTTCAAATCAATCTTCCTTTTTGACCCCGCGGCGTATAGCGCTTGGAACACTTGTTCGCCCTGCAAGGAACAGCTGTTTAAAGATTGTGAAACAATACATAAAAGCGGAGATACCTACTAAGGACCTGTCCCACCAATAGCTGATAGAGGCACAGATAGCTTAAAAATGGCGTCACTATCAGATAAGGGAACAATTTTTTTTTATAACATAAGGTAGCAAACGAGCAAGCGGCCACCTGAATCCGCCAAAATGGCGAAGCGTCCGCTGCCCATAGACATCCGCAATTGCAGATGCGTTGCCTACCCTTATGCGACGGAGGAGGAGACGCATATAGAGGATATTTCCCCTTCCTATGCATCTCTTCCACCGTCAAATCCACTTCCCTTCCCATCCTCTCCCTATAAGAAAAGGATGGTAAAGGGAAAGGGACTTACATTAGGCCTCCGATATTTCCATCACATTTTACATGTTCGATTGTTATCAGACAATTTACAATTTGGTGGGACAGGCCCTAAGCCTCGTATTAATTGCTATAAGAAACATAATAAAACGCAATATATTACGATCTAACATTTAACGTCATAACTTTTACACGTGTAATATCTTACGCGCCATTAAAATCGCCCTTGCCAGATATTTGATGACATAAAAACTTTATAGCTGTGTCAGTAACTTTATTGTCGGTCAGAGAACTGCACAGTTGATATTTTTAATGTGTCACAGACTGAACATTATGTAGAGCATATACCTATTGTCATGTAATAATCACTTCAAAATAATATTGTTAGAAATTGTTATTGCTAGAAAAAATATCAGATTTCTGTTTAATATCACAATTTTTATTTTTATTATTTAGCTAATATATTTTAGATTATGAAATGAAGCCTACAAGGTTACAATTAATAATTAAATTTAATAAAACAATAACATCCTTAGAAATTCAACACAAAGTCAAAGTATTCAATAATAAAATTCTTACTCAATAATAAAACTATCAATCAAAACTAATCAAAACATTTGTTATACTAATATTATAAAGAGGAAAGATTTGTATTTTTGTATATATTGAAATTACTCAAAAACTATTAAACTTTTCACCATTAAAAAGCTACATTATCAGTGAATAACAGACTATATTTCTTTAATTCACGCGGGTGAAGCCGCGAGCAACAGCCAGTATAAGATAAAAGGACGGAAATCAAATAAATCACTTACCTCTATAGAAGAATTATATGGATAAAATTCATTAAACCTAAGAGACCAATAAAAAGATGCTATTTCTATAGTTGTTTGAGCGTCGTCTATTAAATCTAACCAAACATTTTTTGTAGGCGTATGCGTCATGTTTGGAGGATACATGTGCCCTTCCGGAATACTCTCTACTAAGGATAATCTGAAACAAATGAATTTATTAAAAAAAAAACTTACAGACATAATACACTTATCAGTACTAATAATATGAGAAAAGGTGAGACTGTTTAGTAATAATGGAATTAATTAAAATTCCCAGAATTCCTTCAATTTTGCTTAAGTTATTATATTTTATGTAAGTCGCTGTGTCTTCTATTATATTTTTTTTATTTTTACATTGATATTATATTATCATGGTTTACGCACTTGGCCAGCGTGGTTGACTATGGCCTAGTCACCCCATATTAGGGTAGGCTCCGAGCCCCTCGGTGGGGACGTATAGTGAGCTGGTGATGATGATGATGGTTTACATACAAATATTTTATACTTATGTTCTTTTATTGGTTTGTCTTTATTAAAAAGACTAAGAGTGAACCAAAAATTTATTTTAATTTTATCTGTCAACAATTATTGTTTTTATGTTAATTTTTAATTAATACAAATTGTTAATAATTTGCAATTACAATTTGTATATATCGTTAAATAATAATTCATAATCATCAATAAAAATAAAATAAAAACAAAATTTTGTTTTACTTTTAATACATGGGTAGTATATCTTACCTACACTCATCTGAGCAATGTACAGTGACAGGTTGCTGACTGGATGCCGCATGTGACACATTTGGCTGGTCCAGTAGTGGTACAAGCACAACAAGAACTATCAGCAGAATTACTATAGAAACAGGGATGCAAGATGGTCGACACCATATGCTGCGTTTCTTCCTTCTGTAACAAACATATAATTTAAAAAAGTTTCAAATGCTTACATGACTAATGTTATCTTAAAAGATTTTTAAAGTTAAGTTTAATCAATAAAGTCAATAAAAATAAAATAAAAACAGCGTTTTTTTTACTTTTACTTTGAATAACTAAAGTAAAAAAAAGCAATTCTATTTACTTTATTAAATATAACATATTAAATTTTACTTTCTTAAAAGCTGTTTTGGAAGTCATAAACTTATTTATCGTAGAATCTATAAATAAATTGATTAAGTTTTTAGACAAGGCAAAGAAGATAAAATAATATTGAAAGTACTTACTTGTCATTATAGCTGTTCCCATTTTCATCCCTCATCATGAAAATTTGCTCCCACTGCTCGAGCTCCTCATCAGAGGATGACGCGTTCCCCACACTCCCCGATTCTAATACAGTCTACAAATAAATATAATATTTAATACTAAGAAAACAAAAAAGTTTAGACATAATTGCAACTAACAGATACCAACTTTTATTCGAAACTTGAAGGATTTAAATATCGCTTCTAAATATCTCATTTTAAATTCAATAACTTAAACAAAACAAAGAAACAAATGGCAGAGCATATATTATTGAATAGTTATTGTTTTGACTTTTGTTTAATTTTGAAAATTGACGTATTATCACGTCACATTGACATTTGATGACAATAGGACTGCCGGAAATGAAACAAATTGTAAAATCAATTCTATGCAGGAAAAAATTTAATAACAATCTATTATTTGTACTTTGCCAAAATTGTATTAAAACATAACGCAATGTAATATTACTTGTTTATAAATTAACAAAATAATTGTGAAAAAACTAACCATTTATATAGAAATCGCGGAAACGCTGGTGCAAGGTAAGACAAATCAATACTCAACGAGAATCCATCACTGTAAAAACTTTTTAAAACGTAATCACGAATACAATTCGTTAATAACTGCATTTTCGTGTATCCTGGTGCTCCTTTACGAACCGTGCAGGCGCAATAGTAGCAAAAATATTACTGCAAAGTGGATGACGTCGGCAACCGCCGCATTGTTCATGTGCATTTTAAATACTGGGTTAGTTCAGACCGTAAAACTATTCAGGGCAAAACACAGTCATTATTATGATATCACGCAAAAGGTACAATTTACCTGCACCATGTATTTTTAAGAATTTTTTCATCGTTAGCGCGATCAGTAGCGCTTACAGTAAATCGTTTATAGAATAAATTACACTGCGAAACTGTTTTATGTGCCTACTTTGATGACTTATTGGCATGCGAAAAGTATATTTGTCTTCCGGTTGGTTAAAATCAGACTTATTATTTTTCCCGCCAATTATATAATTTGATTTTTATTAATTATTTTCTAAACCAAAATTAAATGATACTGAACAATATCTGTTAAACAAAAATGGATTAGAAAGACAGAGAATCATTATTTAATTTATTATTCAATCCACATTTATAAAATTCCTATAGGTGGCTTTAGGTTGACTCACTTTACTTACCTGTTAATATAGACTAAGCCTCTATGGGTGACCTTCAAGTTAATTGAGTACGCTTTTTAAACAATGGTATAGGATAACCTTTGATAAACAGTGTCAGCGAACGCTCTTTGCGTGTGTTTTCACAGCTACAACCCGTCAACAACGAGATTGTTTTCCGTTACACCCTAATTTACTTTATCGAACCAAAACGAAATACATCCATAAAAAATTCCACCACAGTGTCGTGTGAACACGATAACAGTCCAAATTATACTACCAGTGACAAATGGATTCTCTTTAATATTACTTGAAATGTAGGTATTTGTACTATTGTAAAGCTGTCGATGAATAAACAGAATAATATAAATGAGTACGGAGTAAACGAGTATAAGGTAGAAAGAGATGGATGGATTCCGTGAAAGGTGGTGGTGACTGAGATGACGGATGATAGAGTTATCCGAGGATGAAAACCTCTTATGCCGAACCCACGGGTGTAGAAAAGGGTAGGGGAGATGATGATGAATATAAACGAATTTTAGTTAAGAGTGTGGAGAGACTGGTTATGCCTAGAAAAAGATGGATGGGATGTGTGAAAGGTGAGATGACCAAGAAGGGAGTGACAATAGACTACGGAAGATAGATTAACCTGAAGAACGAATGGTGGGCTGAACCTGCGGGAATACTACGAGAAAGGGGAAAGAAGATGACGAAGAGTTTTATCCAAAAGTTAATTTCAAGTGTTAATTTTAAAACTTGCTGAGATTCTAATATATAATCGTCCTATTACTAGAATAACTACACACAAATATACTCTAACTATATCGTCTTGAAATCGAATTTATAACCCTTCACATATTTATAACCTTAAAAATGCATTAAAACCTGTTTTTATTTCGTAAAATATAATCATAGATTAGTCGAATATTCGTTGTTATGATGCAAATTTATTAGAGCTCGCTGAAAAACCTTGTTATTTTTATTATGTTGGTAATATTAGAATAATGAATAATACAAACATAGTTGGAACAAAACGTCTTGTATAAAATTTACAAAACCTTCAACATTTATTCAACCTTGTTTATCAAGAGGTATGTAGTCGCATTCTTTATTCAATAACACGAATGCAAGTAAGAAAATATCTGATACAGCGCAAGAAAATAAAAACCTGTTATTATTTTCCAAATATGATAAATATTGAATTTATTTTCAACAAAAGCGTTATAAACGTTTCGATATTAAAACATTGAAATATACTAAATTACTTTGAGATAATACTAAATTGATGCGATGGAATAAAAACCGTTAAAATGCTAAAACATTTACATTATTAGAAATTATGATTAAGAATTTAAAGTACAATTATCATTTCACGGAAACAACGATAAGATTTTCGTAGAAAAGTAGCTACGATATAGCACATTGATTCTCGATCAATCAATTTGACAGCCGGCGTTACCAACAACAATATTCGTTCATTTATTTAAATCATTATTTAAAAGTACTTCATTATTTAAGGAATTTTTAGAGCTGGCACACACCTGTAACTAAATTATCGCACAAGTAAGACTAAACAGTTGTACGATTGTTTAATTTCAGGTGTCCGCAAGTTCTTATAAGTTATTTTGAAAGTGTTTTGTTTTTGTTATTGGAATTCATTCTTCTGTATTTTGAAGTGAAGGGTTAATATTTTTGGTGTCACTAATAAATAATTTTTCAGTATATGGTTTTATTGATTTTATAATTCTGTAACCCTGTGTCTAATTACTCTTACATCGAAAGGTTGTCGGACTTTGTAATGATAGACTAGAGTGTAATGGATTGTAGTGCAATTACAGCACTCGGAGAGGTTTAATGCTCTCTTAATACTACTAAGGGACTGCCTTACTGACCACTTAACGAGTAAAAGCAGTATTTAGGGTGCCGTATTGAGTGGAGGAACTGATAACGTGCTTTTAACATTAAGCGATTCGACATTATCATTTCAAATACTGTGGGAGTTGTTAACGAATTGGAAACTATGTATGTGTAGAGTAAATACGTAGGTGCAAGGCCGACTAGCATATCGTCGAATTCGGTATATTTGCTGTTTAAGTAAACAATGTAAGTAATGATAATGTGCTAATGTTATAAAGAGGAAAGTTTTGCATTTTTGTATGTATTGAAACAACTCAAAAACTACAGGACCGATTTGAAAAATTCTTTCACCATTAAAAAGCTACGTTATTATTAAGTATCGTAGGTTATGATTTTTTTAATTTCAAGGGGATGATGTCGCGAGCAACAGCTACTGATAACATAAAGTAAAGGAACCGCGACAAAAATTACCTTTTCAATATGAAAATCATAAAAAAGCGTTTAGTTATAAGGTTGTCAAATATACTCTGAAATTTTGGCTACTGCGGTCACAAGGTCGTATGCAAAGTTGTAAATATTTGTCGAGAAAACAGACCCCACATTGCCTGTTACCATGGAAACGTGCGTAATAACAGAATTATGCAAATGTCACCTGAATTAATTGCTTAAAACCGATTATGAGTACGTCAGTGTCCTATTATGAAATCATTCTAAGAGCAAAAGTAAGTATAATATGAAAGTTATCGGAAAGTGATATTTAGACCTCAGTATTTTACAGATAGTACTCATTTATATGTGACAAGATTGGATAAAGTTAAGAATGTGTACATTAGAGGAAGTTTGAAAGTAGCGCCAGTGGTGGAGAAATTGAGAAGCAAAAGGTTATCCTGGTATGGACATATTATGCGACGAAATGATGGGGACATAAACCAGAAAGTGTTGAGATTGAATGTGGATGGCTACAAAGGAAGAGGAAGACCGAAGAAAGTATGGATGGATTGTGTGAAGGAAGATATGCTTAAGAAAGGAGTGGATTCAGATATGACGGCTGATAGAGATGTATGGAAGAGCAGCACATACTGTGTCGACCCTCCATAAGGGATAAGGGCAAGTGGATGATGACTCATTTATATGTAATTAAAGAAAAGTAAGTAATCCGACCTATACGGTAGGAATATCATATAAACAAGTCATTTACATTTTTAAAGTAACTAAGTATGAACTTAATGACTGAATGATGAAAATACTTTTGCATGGTTCACTTATAATTTCTACTTGTTGCTTAGTAACGTTTACACCAACTTAATAACATTGTTAACTTTCCATCTAAACTATGTAACTAGGTTAGGCCTTTGAACTTTAAATTTATCTACCACGTTAAGGACATTCATTTATTTCAAACAAATATTTTTATGAATTAAGTTAATTAACAACTCCAAAGACACTATTTTTAGGAAGATAATGGTTAATTTGTAAAAGCATTTTCGTTTGAACTTCACTATAATATTTTCAATAACTTTTAAGTCTTAAAAACTTTAAGTGATTTTTAAAGAAACGTCTTTCTAAAGTCAACTTTTAACATAAATGAAAACAAAACAATGTCAAACCTCGCAGAGTTAGAATTTCAAATGTCACCTATCTTTTTATCAAGCGATAAGAGCATTCTGCTTTCAGCCGGTATTCAATTCACTTCACTGTTAGCGATCGTTAAACGTACTGGCCGTTAAATTTTATAAAGCAATGAATACTAAAGAGGTCAGATATTTACCTTACCTTTGGACTTTTATTCTTTTATCTGTGTAGCATTGTGTATTTTTTGGGAATTTATGTTGTGAACATACACTATTCATCTACTGAGAACTCTAATACGATTGCTTTTTATAGCAGAATTGTTAATAGTCACTAAGGGCCACTTAAGGCTAAGTGCTCTGTGTGCGGAAGATTTAGTGTTAATTTGGTCACCTTGCAGTTCAATTCTTGAAATTAATTTGTTCTTCTTTCTTTACATTATCTTTCAAATCGTACAAATTAAATCACGTCTACAAGCACCTTGCATCAATATGTAATTACAGAAAGTGCAA